GTTGTTGAAACCTCATGGTGAGGCAGGAATAATGCAAGTCTTACTGGGAAGCAGGCTTGGTCTCAATCACATCCAAGAAGCCACCAACCAAGTGCAAGCTACCAGTAACGAATGTCATCACGGGGGCTTCATCCTGGCCTACAAGGTCCTTTTCTTGCAGAGCGAGCTCCCGAGTAAAGTCAACAGCTTCCTCAATGGTGCTATACACCTTGACTTCAGTGCGAGGGTCAATGGACCGCCATGTGTCGGCGAGACTGTTCTGGACATGCAGTTTCTCCACATCCGTTGCATTTGTGTTCATGCTGACAAGATCGGGTCGATAACCTGCAGCCTTGTAGGTGACGTTGGTGCAGAAGATCGCGTGGGTAAAGGGTTGCTCCGAGCCCAACGCCGCAGCCAGAGTCTCGTAAAGAGCCTGGGCCAGGGCATTGCTATCACGGGTCTGTTGGTTGAAGATCAAGACCCGCTGCTTCTTTTGCGCAACTGCGGCAGACGAAGAGTTTGCCTGGATCTGTGATGCAAACCACTGGCCAGCCAATCGGATACTTTCAAGCGTGTGGCCGCCGTCGATGTACCAGGTAATGTGCTTCTCACTGCGCGTCTCACAACGACCGCCTAGACGGGCCTCTTCCAAACCCTTGCGGAATCTAGCTGGTAGGGGTTCCTGCAGGATGTTCGACGGCACCTCCCCAATGCCGACAGTCCGCAGGAATTCGGCCGCTGTTGCAACCGCCACTGCCGCGTTGGTATATTGGAAGTCACCAGCTAATCCGAGCTTCACGCCCCCACCAGTCTTGAGCTCGGGGTGGCCCCTCACGATTTCCAGCGAGGTTCCCTTCTCGGCAGCACGTTCGAACAGGACTTTCTCAGCAGACGGAGGCTGAGGTGCGCTGAATGCTTTGGTGCCAGGTTTGATGATGCCACCCTTATGCCATGCGATCTCCTCAACAGTGTTTCCCAACATAGCAACATGGTCAATGCCCAGGCTGGTGATGGCTGTCGCAGCTGGCTCTGGAATCACGTTGGTGCAGTCGTACTCTCCGCCGATCCCGCATTCGATAACTGCAGCATCGACTCCTTCACTGATGTAAGTGTGGAATGCCATCAATGTTAAGTACCGGAAGTATTGAGGCTTCGTTCTGAGATTCGTGGGATCTTCGCCGGCTACTCGAGCAGCATCTTCCAGACGATCCCACACTTCGAAAAAGTATTTGGCGAACTTCTCCTCCGAGAGTGGTGCATTGTCGATTTGGATACGCTCTCTGGCAAAGCGCAAGTGAGGCGAGGTGTAGAGCCCGACCTTGTTGAGGGATCGCGAGGTTGACTCCGAGGGAGATAGCTGCGAGGCAGTGTACTGTGACAGGATCGATGCGATAAAAGCCGAAGTGGAGCCTTTACCCTTCGTGCCGGCGACATGAACAGGATTGATACGGCTTAGATCCGAGGGCTATGGACCAAACATAGAACGAGAGTCAACACTGGAGCATGACAACATAATGCGGGGGGGGGGGCACGCGGACCTTATATCCGACACGACGAAGCCACTCAACAGTTTCTGGAATAGACAACAGGTTCATGTCTTTCCGTGACTTGCGTAACTCTTCCACAACTGCAAAATTGGTTTGCAGTGAGTTTAGAGCTGCAATCGCAGCCTGCACCACATCGTTAGATTTGACGCCCAATGGCTTGCGGACAAATGCCTGCGGGGAAACCTGCCTCATAATCGCGAGACATAATGGTTGATTTGGATGATATATGGCGAGTAAAATGAAACTGGAAGAGGGTGGGAAGTTTGCGAAAGCCCCTCATCAGGGTCAGGTCAGCCACTGCTCACGTGAAAGAAGGCTGTTGTGCATCGACTAATTGAAAGACTTATAAACGCCGTACTTGCCTACGCAGCCGGAGTAGTGTCATCAAGCGCCGGTAGGTCCGAGTTCGGGCTACCGATAAGGTCACGTGAACAATGCATAGACATCTCGACTCATTAAAGTATCGGCGAAACAACCTTACACCTCAATTCTTACATGTAGGAAGTGCAATGGCAGACTTTGTATTTGACAAGTAAACTTTGCTACTAATGGATCTAATTTGGCAAATCCAAGGGGTGACGAGAAGGTTTTATTGGAACATGGAAAAGTGTAAGCAGGGTGTGGATGTAGAGAAGTAAAAGACGTGTGTGGGTAGATATACACCAAAGGGAAGCGCACATGTAAATATTCTATAAGGTGTAGTGCAGGAAGTCATGCAATAAGAAGCTTGTCAATGAAATTACTCAATCCTGGTTTTGCCTTCCTCCAGGAAAACCAGCCTTGCGTTGCTATAGCCTCGCTGGTGTCTTCTGACAGGAAGCCACTGGCCGATGATCGGATCCGTCCGAGCCTTGATAAGCGCATCTTGATACCCTTCAGATCCAGCTGCGGGTGTGTTTAATTTTGGCCAATTAACCTGGAGCACTTGCGTTAGTACCCAATTCCACGTTGGAAGGTGTGACACCAAAACTTACATAAAGCATCCCATGGACAAGTATAAATCGGGCACACCAGGCGCTGACAACAAGCCAGAAGATAACAAACAAGCGCAGTGGCCACACAGTGGAGTCTGGTAGGCGTCTCGTGAAGGTTGAGACCATGATCATAAAAACTCCAGCAGCAAATATGTATGGGATTGACTGGATGATGAGCGGTCGGCGATCGAGGAAGAGCTGAAGGCTACCCAGTGTAGAGTCAGGAGGGAGATAGGCACCCAGGAACACATCAAAGCCATCTTGTCGTGGACCATCCAAGAAGTTGTTTCGCACATAGCGTGTAATAGAATTGTTAAGATCCTGCAACATGCCTGCGCGAGTACGCTCTCCTGTGCGAGTGAAATCGGTTTTGAGTGCGCCCGTGCCAGAGTAGGATTTTGAGACTACATCCGCGTTGTCGGCCCAGATATTGCGGAAGAGGTTTTCGAACTCACGGTCGTCGTTTGCAGCCTCTCCTGGGCGTAGGACTCCAGCATCGATGAGCTGACGCGTAATAGCCCAACGTCCCAGCATACTCTGCACCACGTTTGTGCGGTCAAGACAGTCCATGCAATTTGTCCGGACGACGCTGGTTTGCGAGGATCGAATATCCAGCTGTCCACCAGGGACACCAGGGTCTTCCACTCCCCGGAAATAGCCACCCCTATTGAGTCCGTCCATCAACCGGTCTAACAACAGCTCTGCACGATGCCACTTGAGTCCCTTAGTCTCATTGTGAAAGTCAAAGTAGATATAATGTAATCTATCCATCTCGTTTTGTCTGAGACCGGGCTCAACAGCGTGTAGCTTTTCCGATGTTGCGTCATCTGCCTCGGTGTGTTCGGTGGAGGACGACACTAATATACGGACCAACTGCTCGTAAGCATTCTTGACTCGTTCTTCCCGACCTTTGTGATTCACCAGGTTAACCAAGTAGTTTTCGCCATATAGTCGGATCTGCTCGGAAAAGTGCTTGCGGGCAGCGTCAACAGCAGTCTCCACTCCGCGGACTTGAAGCTTCGGTGTATACTTAAGATTGTTGACTTCGGCCCAATACACAGGAACACTGCCTCTGGTTTGCACAAACGCCATAACCTGGAGGTCTTGGCCAGAGCCACTTAACTTGTCCTTCGCTAGAGACTGGCCTCCAGCGAAACCAGAAAGGCCACCCGTTACGTCATTCAGAATGACAATTTGCTCGGTCTCGTTGTAATTCGAGACATGACCTTGGTCATCAATGCCACGTGAGAAGTATCTTGTGCCTCCACGATACCTGGATCTCCGCGTAACAAGGGCAAATGTGAACGACGTTGACTTGACCTTTGCCGGAGTTATCCGTAGCATCCCAAACATGACGGGGAGGATATACGGATCAACACCTGGCTGTGGGCCGAGTCGCACACCAGTCGTGTCATGTTCTCCAAGGCTGAAGTCGATCAGATCAGATTGTATGAAGCGGTTCCAGAAGAAGCGGTCATCCGCTCGCTTCCACATAGGAAGGCTAAGATCACTTTGTGATTGACGCTGAAAGCTGCTGGTGATGTCCAGGGCATAGGAGAAGTACATGGGTCCAGTACGAAGGTGTTCCTTCAACAAAGCCAGATATGTATCTTCGTCGGAATCATGCAGAGGGCGCTCGCGCAGGGGGAGGAACTCGGTCGCCGCAACTTTGTACACCATGTGGCCACGTAGCCTACCCATGGGCTGAGCCTTGGTGATGACGATGATGTATTTGTCTAGCAAAATCAGTAACAATCTCCCGAAATTTATAGCGCGACGGTGAGCATACCTAGTTTCAACTTGATAATGCCCAGTATACCAGCGATACTAGAAATACGCTTCGCACCGGAAAGGGTGCCATTTGTGAGACGTAAGTCACCGGTTGGACGCTCGACGACAAGAGTAGGGGCGTTAGGTGATGAGGGAGAAGTGAAGGCATAATGAGAGGGCGAAGCGTGGAGATTGATGTCGCGAAACGGTAAAACGGAGGCAGCCATGACTTTCGAGTTTACCCCGTAAGGGAGTAGTTCACTGGAAGTGGAAAGCGACCAAAGAAAACAAGAAAGAGTGGAATCTGAAGTGAACCCTAGCGCATAGCGCAGAAGATATGATATCTGGGGAAAAAAACCGTAATTAAGGAAAGGAAGACTCAAAAGTCAAGACAGGAAGGTAGTAATATCGAAAGTGGGAGGAGGAAGCGGGAGAAGGTGATTGAATGTGATGATGACGACCTCCGAGAAAAGGGTGTACTGTACGTACGACTTAATCCGACAGGCCAACACTGCGGGAAATCAAGTCACTTTACCTTTTCTGCTTTAGGTCTAGACTAATTTTGGGGCGCCGCTTTCTCCTTACTAAGCAGCCGGGACGTAACTTACGGTAGTTAACGTAATTATGTAGTAGTAAACTGGTGCCTGCCTGTACCTATTTTTAAACAAGAAGATAAAGCTTTCATGTGATTATTCTTCAGGTACACTGGAAGATGATATACATTAATAGGGCTTTATGAACATTTTTTGCTGGGCGGATATGGCGCCCTCAATTTGGGATTTCAATATCCGCATGTTTTCAGTGGCGTTTCCGCCGTGGCGTCAGCGAGTGATTGATGGTTTCTCGACTTCACTTGTAAAACTGTAGGGTTTGAGTATGGCAATGGGACAGCAAACCCTGACGTCCCCATTCGCCTCCGATTCCACTTTGTTTCCATCCGAAAAGTATCTATGGGGGTGGGGGATTGCGAAATTATAAAGCCATATCGTTCCGACCTCCAGCTGGCGTGCAATGGGCTCCGCCGTCGCCACATCGAGCGCCCAGAAACAGGCACCCTACCCGCTCTTGGTGGCATTCAAGCGGCGGATGAGCTCGGCCTCGTCGTACCACTCAAGAAAGGGGTTAACGGGCCCAAATTGTTCTTCCTGGACGATGCGGGCATTGTCTGGCGGACGATCCACCACGGTTGGGGAGATGTACAACCCCGGCAGTGGTTTCCCGTCGCGCTCGGGGCCGCCCACAGAGAAGGTGTGAGCTTGTTTGGCGCTATCAGCGAGGAATTCTTGAACAAGTTGGTACTGCATGCGGTTTTGCAGTGGGCTGAATAGCGGGGAGTGCTCGGCCGCGCGGTCGATGACGATCTTCTGAACTGCAGCGATGAAGGCGGAGCGGAACTGCGGCAGGATGTCGCGGTGGACGTAGACTCGCTTGGTGGCCACGCACATCTGAACCGCATGGAAGAAGCACTCCTAGGCCACTCGGACGGCTACCTCGTCCACTTCGATATCAGCGCAGACGATGCTGGCGTCGTTGCCCTCGAGCTCCAGCGTCACGCGCTTGAGCGACCGCCCCGCGCTTTCTGCTATACGGCGGCCCGTGGCGGTGTACCCGGTGAAGCTGATCTTGTCCATGCCCGGATGGGTGGTCATGCGCGCCCCGACCTCATCGCTCCCATTTAGCGCCTGAAGTATCCACTTGGGGAGGATATCTCTTGTATATTCAACAAATCTCAGGGTCGCGTAAGGGGTCATCGGGGAGGGCTTTACGATCACACAGTTGCCCATAACCAGGGCCGCTGCTATCTTGGCCACCGCCAGCACCAGCGGGAAGGTCCACGGGCATATGGCGCTGACCACGGCCAGCGGAGGATACGTGGAGACGATTCAGACGGATTCATCCTCATACTCGTTCTTATCGGGACATGACTGGGCGGCTTGAATCCTCAATCGATTAGTCTTGCTCTCAGAGAGAGAGAAAGGGAGAAAGAGACGTAGAGTCTTTGTTTTCTTCTTGTTCTTACCATTAAACCGGAGGAATCGTAAGGCATCGTCAACCTCAATTTTCGCCAGGACATCCTGCAACACCGGTCTCTATGAGCCAGCCCCCTCACACAGCATGGGCTAAAGTGGAATGTGCATACCGACTTGCCTAACTCCTTGGCAAGGATAGGACGGAGCTCGTCTTGTCGGGTCTCCAGCTCGTCTGCCATCCGGTGCAGACATTGCTGTCGACCTTCCAGAGGCCGGGCTTTCCAAAAGGGGGAATGCTTCACGGGCTGCCTGTACCGCCTCGCGCAAGTCGTTTTCAGCGGCCACTGGGACCGGCCAGAGCTCGGTGAGGGTTCGAGGGTCGGTGACTGTCACTGTGTTTCCCCCATGTCGTTTTTGCGAGCGGATGATGTTAGAGAACGTTGTAACCTTTTTGATGGTAGCGCACACCATTCTACTGCAGAGGACTGGGATGTTCTATGCCTATATTGAAAGAGAATCGAGAGACTTAAGCAGAAGAAGCCCAAAACAGGCAGGGAAAGAAGAAGAAGAAGAGACCTGAAAGCACAGCCCTGAGGATAGCTTAAAATTGAAATGATGGATTTTCATAGATGGACTAGCGGCGGGATCTCCCCACCAGCGGGGCGGGAGCCATGCGGGAAAATCACACCCCCGCCTTGTCTTTATGGCTTGTTCAGTGGGGCGGAGGTGGGAAAATGCCGTTCCACTACCCAGCCTCGGAACAATACAAAGGTGAACCTCACACGTATTCCAGGTGGAAGGCTCAGATATCTTCCAATACGATCATCGCTCCCAGCTCTCGGCATCAAGCCATACGTGAAACCACAATGGCGGAGCAGCCGGTAGCGATTCTCAAAAATGTAAGTATACAGCCTGTTATCTTATAGTCCTCTTCTCCGGGGCGTTGGTCGAACACTACTGACTGTACTTGAACAGCAAGGAGCTGATTTCACCTTTGCAATCACGACTGCAACGATTCCAACCATCCAACCTCGAGAAATCCTTGTTTGTCTGGAAGTAACGGGTTTCTGCGGTACCGATCTCTCGCTCGCCCGCGGACAGCTCGGCCCTTGTAACACCATTCTGGGCCATGAGGGAATTGGTCGAATTGTGGCTGTAGGCGCTATGTGTGAAGCCGAAGCCGCGCTGGTAGGCCAACGAGTTGGGATCGGCTGGATCCGCGATGCCTGTGGCGCATGTCCCAATTGCATGAGCGCGGGGGCGGGCGAAACTAGATGCACCACCCAGGTCTTCAGTGGTCGAGATGTGGCCGGCACGCTGGCCCGATATGCGGTCGTCCCGGAACGGTACCTGATGCCTCTGCCTGAAAAGGGTCCCAGCGAGCTGTTGGCCCCGATCATGTGCGCCGGGGTGACAGCTTACAAGGCCCTCAAGGTAGCCAACGTTACTCCCGGGTCGTGGATCGGTGTGTCCGGGGCAGCAGGCGGCGTGGGCTCCCTGGCAGTGCAATATGCCAAGGCCATGGGGTATCGGACGGTGGCCATTGACGGCGGGGGCCCTCAACGCAGAGCCATCTGTCTGGAAGCGGGGGCAGATGTCTATCTTGACTATGAGGAGGCCGAGCCAGATCTCCGAACCAGTCTCCTTCGTGCTACGGGCGGTGATCTCTGCGCTGCTGTACTTGTCTGTGCCGGGGCTGCTGCCGCGTATGAGGATGCCCTGCCGTGCTTAGCCTACTTTGGGGTCCTGGTCGCCGTGGGGATCCCCCCAGCAACGTCGAAAGTCTCCTTCCACCCCCTCACTCTGATTGACTATGGTATTCGATTCGTCGGCAGCATCACTGGGGACCGCATAGATGTCCTTGAGGCGGTCCAATTTGTCATCCGCGGTCTGGTAAAGCCGCGAACTGTCCTTATTGACTTGATCGACCTCAATCATTATGCGGGGCAGGTCGATCAGCTAGATGGGAAATTAGTGGTACGCTTGGGGGATGTTTCTCCATGATGACAGCGAGGTGACTCGAGTATGATTACCTGTATTTAAGAGGAAGTCAATTCTTACATCCTTGATAATCACAACCCACGCAAATCACTAATTAAAAAGAAATCACAACTATAAAATTTCCAACCATACATATATGCTAGCACTGTACCTTGGTAATGACTCGGAACTTAATGCCTTTCGCAGCCGTGGTGGCAGCGGGGAAATTCCCACCCCCGCTTTAAATCTCCGCTTCTGACCCGCCGGGATGCTGATCTTCAGCACTACGTTACGTACGCGATGAGAGTTTATCCTTTACGTCGGCTGATATGCTTGCTTGCACCATCATTCTTCCTACCGTATTCTACCCCCAAAGATGTTTAAATCACATATAAACCTACTGGCACCCCCGGTCATTCACTTTTTGAAGAAAAAGGAAGAAGTGCTTCCCTCCATTAATTCAGAAGAGTTCGTTCGGTCTGGATGAGCATCCAGCAATCGACAATTCCGCGGAAATCAGCAATACACAATGTTTGAACCATTAGCACTTCCTCCCGGGGTGAGTGTCAAGGTATTTAATATCTTTTTGGACAAGGTAATCCGGCTCGTGGGTGCAGAAAACGTCGATGTAATCGCGACGGAGGAACAATTAGATCCGGGGTCATATATGAAGCCTCAGTATTCTGTTGACCCTCATCCTGTTCTTGCCCCTGACACCTTTCTCGCCTCAGCTATCGTCGCACCGCGAGAGGTTGCAGATGTCCAGTGAGCTTTTCACCAGTTGCTTTACCCCCTTCCCTCCAACCTACGAACAAGACGCAAACTGATTGGATCTTATCAGAGCGATTTTACGCCTTGCCAGTGAATTTCGAGTCCCACTGTGGCCAGTTTCAATCGGCCGGAATTCGGGATATGGGGGTGCTGCCCCTCGGGTTCGGGGATCTGTCGTCCTCAACATGGGGAAGAACATGAACCGGATCCTGGAGGTCAATGTTGAAGGGGCCTACTGTATTGTGGAGCCAGGTAGGAGATTTCCATTCGCATAGATTCTTCTCCCCCCGCTCACTTCCCTCTCCTCCCAGACTCACTTTCTCTGATATCTAGGTGTCACTTTCCATGACCTGCATAACTACCTCGTTCAGCACAACCTGCGAGAGAAAGTATGGATCGATGTCCCCGACCTCGGTGGCGGGTCGATCCTAGGCAACATGCTGGAGCGGGGAGTTGGATATACGCCGTACGGAGATCACTACATGATGCACTCGGGGATGGAGGTGGTAATGCCAACCGGAGAATTGGTGCGCACGGGTATGGGTGCCCTGCCACACCCCGAAAGCCGTGGCGGTTCTGAGTCCAAAAAGCCCGAAACCCAGCCCTGGAACCCGACCGCCGCCCTGTTCCCCTACGGGTTTGGTCCCTATCTGGATGGCCTGTTCACGCAGTCTAACCTGGGAGTGGTCACCAAGATTGGGATGTGGCTCATGCCCAATCCCGGGGGGTATCAATCCTATCTGATCACCCTGCCCCGGGACGAGGATCTGCACCGCGCGGTCGATATCATCCGGCCCTTGCGCCTCACCATGACCCTTCAGAACGTGCCCACTATCCGCCACATCCTGCTTGATGCGGCCGTCCTGGCCCCTCGAACCGCGTATACTGACACTGGCGGTCCGCTGTCCGACAAGGCGCTGGATGCGATTGCTAAGAAGCTGGGTCTGGGCCGGTGGAACTTTTACGGGGCGCTCTACGTAGGTCTTGCTTGTCTCGAGCCCTCACCATACACCCGCCACTTCTTCGTTGACCAGGTCGTACTGAAACTAACCCACCGCAAAAATCTCCAAAGGGACCTGAACCAATCCGCCAGAATCTTTGGGCGGCCATCAGAGCGGCATTCTCCGCGATCCCCGGAGCCAGATTCTATTTCCCGGAGGAGACCGCGGAGAATTCGGTGCTGCGCATCCGCCACTTGACGATGCAGGGGATCCCAACCTACGATGAACTCAAGTGGGTAAATTGGGTACCTAACGGGGCCCATCTCTTTTTCTCCCCTATTGCTAAAGTGACCGGGGACGACGCTATGGCGCAATATCTCCTGACCAAGCAGCGGTGTCAAGAGGTCGGTCTGGACTTTCTAGGTACCTTCACCGTTGGGATGCGAGAGATGCGTGAGTTTGCCCCTCATCCCGCGCCTGTTCTTCTCTCCTACCTTGGTCCCCCACCTTGGTCTCCCGACCTAACTTCTCTTAGACCACATTGTGTGCATCGTCTACGATAGAATCTCGCCGGTGGAGCGGAACAAAGCGCTCACTCTGATCAAAAGACTGATTGCCGACTGTGCGGAGCGCGGTTGGGGAGAGTACCGGACCCACCTGGCGATGATGGACCAGGTGATCGGGACCTACAACTGGAACAATGGCAGTCTGTTGAAAGTTCACGAGGTTATCAAACAGGCGCTGGATCCGAAGGGGATCCTCGCTCCGGGCAAGTCAGGCGTGTGGCCGGCACAATATATCACGGAGCGGGAGACGAAGTTGTGAGAATAAATGGTTTCATTGATAAGCTGTACTGGACACTGCCGAGTAGTAGCTGAGCTGCTAAGTATGTATCTCTTTCTTTCTTCATTGGAAACTTGCCCGCTGATTTGCTCAATATGCTTAGCCTGTACCTTAGTTGAATACAATTCAATTTTTTCCGGGCGATACCTCAGACAATTAATTCGATCGCCCCGTTACTGGCCCCGCCCCGCCAGCGCCTTTCGAAGACGAACAGAAAACGCAGAGCGTGAACGATTATTGCGCCCGCCTGAAACGGGCTTGTGTGACAGGAAGGAGAAGACGGGATCACTTCGAGGTATGGATACAGTAGGAGCTGTTGACTCCTCCCACAGGAAGGGTAGTGCCAGACATCACTAGCATTATGTCATTCTAGAAATAGATTTCAACAATAATACTTCATTATATTCTTGGTAAGGGCCTCGGCAAGGCTATGTAGATATATCTAGGATCTCTGTCTCTCTAACCTTCTCTCTACTATAGATAGAGGTAAAAAGTACTCGGCATCTGGCATCTCTAAGAAGTATACTGAGCAGAGTAGAGAAATAAGGACAGCAACACCTAATTACACCGAAGATAGCCAGAAAGAAAAGAAAAACAGTAAAAAAAAATAAGTAAGTCAAGGTTTAGTCTCTCTCTCTCTCGTTTCCCTTGTTCAAGTCCCTTCATCAACCACTCATCATACAAGAGCTCCAAGGCTGTCAGCCGGTCAGAAGAACAACGAGATTCCAGATATCAACTTTGTTATCCCAGCTTGCTCTCAATCACTTCAGGCGCTCTGTAAGGATTTGGCATAATATCTTCGGTGTGCTATTTATTGCTAAGCCGAGCTTCGCCAAAATCACTGAGAAGTGGTAGTCCGTCTCCAGGAGGGAAGCGGGCGGACCTGTAGATTGTACGGTTTTGAAGCACCTTTCGTGCCGATGGGTTTCTTATCTCCTCTTCTCCTCTTCCTCAAAGTTCGAAAGCGCCTCTGGCTTTGGTGAGGAAAGAAGCAAGTCCTTGAGTTGGATATCTATGCAACTTAGCCTCTCAATCTCGTTTCAACAGGAAATCAAACACGTACCCGTGTGAAAAACACCAGCTACAGAATGTAAGAAGTCCAACACCACCAGTAACTGTGGGATACAAACCTTCATATCCTCAAGAGTCATTGCTTTGCCAGGAATCCATTCCAGCAGCTCATTCGCACTTATCCCTAAAGGTTCGTGAACGAGACAGATATGTTGACCATGGGGACCCGTAATAATAAAACGATCGAATAATTTTCGAATGTATCTTTTAGCGGGATGTTCATATCCACTGAATTCAAACGATTATAGATGTTCAGTTCATCTTCTCTGTTCTCGCCCGTCACGTATATTTTCAAGGCAACATAGCTGGAATTACTGTATCGCATTATCAACAAACCCCCGAAAAACAACAAGTATAGTCCCCTGGTTGTACTTACAACAAGTCACGACCAAAACATACAGTGGACGTAACTCCGTAGCCTAACGTAGCTAATACCTGATATCGATGGTTGAGAACTTCCCCCTGTTGGGTTGGGAAAAAAGTTTTTGGGCTTGATATGTAGGTAAAGTCTCTTCTTCAATATGTACGGACGATTCAAGTGTCTTGAATCCAGAAGATGGAAAATCCTGTGGCACAGATGCCCACTAAGAAGAGGATATCGCTGGTCGTTGAAGATAATTCCCAGGTCCTTTTGGAGCTGGTCGCTTTGAGGCTAGCCAATTCAGAGAAGCAAACTGGGTGCTCAGGTATCTTGGAGGTCGGTACATCGAAACCCCGGTTTTACATAACAGAAAGTGAACACAGGCAAGATGCAGGTCAGAGCGAAGGAGAAATGATACTAGTATTTATTCCCTCTGCTAGAAGAAACCCGGTGATATACTACACACAGCCCCTAGCTGGAAGTTGGGAGAGCTACTGGAGGATCACGTGGCATCGTGGAGGGCCCCCTGAGCACCCGGGGCGTATTGCGGCACATGGTGAGATGCAAATAAGCGATGAAGGAGGTTTCTGGTCATAGTCTTGGAGATGGTAGCAAGATCTCTCTCAGGGAAAGAGGTTTACTTTGCTCTCAATATATCCATTAGGAATGAATGTACAGTACCTGACATTCTGCCTTAAGAACCCGCCTTGTCGGCTCTGTGGCAGCCAGCTCCGCTTTTGGAGGTTCTGCCATGTAATTCCGCCCACGAGTGGTAGTTTCCCATGTACGAGCTAGAATACTAGCAAGTAAGGAATAACACAAAAAGCATGCATGATTCATATTTGAGAATTTAGCATACTCATATTCAATGTCACATAATTTTAGTAAGGAGCCCTTATAGGGCGATTTGCAGAGAAATTTGTTGTATGTAAGTAGTCATACATACCACTCCTGCACACACAAGCAGGCGCCGCACCGCCCCGCACATCGGCCAGTCGGCTTAAGCCAGGTGTGGCTGAACCCCCTTCGTCATCTCAACCACCGCCGTCGACGGCAGGCCGCCATCAAACCTCCCCCAGCGTCCCGATCCCGCCTTTCCAGTATCTTCATCTCTTCTTGCACTCTTGAACTTTCCACTCCCGGTCTGGTTCTTCTGCCACGCTTCCACCGACAGTTACATTATTGCCTTTTTCTCTTTCTCCAGTTTTCACAGTTGTTTTACCGACTCCGTTCATTATGGCCACCAGAGCCGCAGCAGGCGCCCGTCCCGGTGCCAGATTCGCTCAGTTCAAGCTGGTGTTGCTTGGTTAGCTCCCCCCTGACTACAGCCCCACTCAAACTCGTCGGATAATGAAGACTAACATATGGTCTATGTTTGAAATAGGAGAAAGTGCCGTTGGAAAGGTGAATAAGTCGTTGAACTCATTGTTCGGGCGGTCGCTGATGTTTTCATTACTTGGCAGAGTTCGCTAGTCCTGAGATTTGTTAAGGTTGGTTTACAGCCAGATGGCTTCCTTCTTTACTCCCAAGGACGGGGCTCATATGAGATAGGATCAATTCGATGATTACCGCGAGTCGACTATTGGCGCCGCCTTCCTCACACAGACAATCTCCCTGGACGAAAGCACGACGGTCAAGTTCGAAATATGGGACACCGCCGGTCAGGAGAGATACAAGTCCTTGGCTCCCATGTACTATCGGAACGCGAACTGCGCTGTTGTTGTGTACGACATCACTCAAGCGGTACGGCCTTTATGTCTTCTCGGACCAGCATGATCGCGCGGAAATGCTAATGTGGTTATGATCGAACAGTCGTCGTTGGATAAGGCCAAGTCATGGGTGAAGGAACTACAGAGGCAAGCCAACGAAAACATCGTCATCGCTCTTGCAGGCAACAAGCTCGACCTTGTAACAGAGAATCCCGACAAGCGCGCGATCGCGACCGCTGATGCCGAGGCCTATGCACGTGAAGCCGGTCTGCTATTCTTTGAAACGTCGGCCAAGACGTCATCTAATGTGCGAGAATTGTTCACCGCTATTGCGAAAAAGCTGCCTCTCGATCAGGCAGGCCCACGAAACTTGCGCGCTGCCCCCCGTCCCGGGGTCGATTTGCGGCCAGAAGCCCCTGGCACTCAGGGCGCGGGCGCCTGTAACTGCTAGACATCGCCTTCAAACCTGCCTTTTCAATTCTAGCATTGTGATGCCTCTCTATCCATGGGTGTTTTAGCTTTCGTTAGTTTGGTTTTGTCTAGATGCGAAAGACGTGCTTCTCTTGCCTGAGCTTGAACTTTAATTCCGGTGCAAAACCTGATGACTTCAATCGGCAGCTGCGCATGGCCGCTACATGTTCCCCAAGAAATGGTTATCTGGCATCCCTAGCCGAATTTTGGGCGGCCTGGTTTGGCACGCAACAACAACCGGTTCCTCGTTGTGGCCCTAAATCCGACCAGCTATTCTACAGTTCTGTCGCCCACTTCTCAAGGCTTCTGAGCCCATTTCTCGAGGCTATACATGCCACTTGTGACACCCAAATCTGGCCATGTACACGGATACAATTGGCTCTGGTGAAGTCCCCTCCATGCTGCAGGAGATAGCTTAGGATATTCGGTGTTTCAATTTGTTCCCTGTGTTTTCCTAATGCTGGCGTCTGTATCCTTTGTCATGGGTTGAGCTGTTCTTTTTCTTTTTTTTTTTTTTTTTTTTTTTTTTTTTTACCCTCAGAGTTTCTCAGTATGCTATGCCTATATAATACTCCAATAATCTTCCTTGCTCTTGGGATGACGTATTTGATCCTGAATTGCGCACATGTGGCTCTCTTTACCGGCGCACTGAGAGGTCGAACAAGAACCGTTCACAATAGCTGTACATTGATCATATTTCTCTAGTTTATGGTAGACTCATTCAGCGGATACGAAACAGATGTAGTATTTGAGTGAAGCTGCTCTCATCAATGGATGATGGACTATACCGATAGTTACCCTGCAGTCGTAATGTCGTAACAGGAGAAGCGGGCGGGCGGTGCGACCAAGGCCAAGCTGACTGAGCCACTATTTGGCGGTGCAGGATCGGAGCGGATCGTAAAAGCACCTACTAATCCCAGTTCCAGTTCCGGTCCGCGTTTTCACCTTCGTCAACATCAACCCCTCAACTTCTCTCGCTCCCAGCGCTTTCCTTCACAGTAGTGCGGCCCACAATGCTGCGCTCTTCTGTTGCCACGGGACGCCAGGTGCTACTGTCCTCCGCTCGCCAAAGGACGGCCGCGCAATGGCTGTCCAGAGCTGGGGCAAGCAGCCGGTTCTCGAATCAGGTACGGTGACGGCATCCTCGGTCTTGCGGATTGATTCCTGGCAAATTGATCACTAACGTGTCCTTCACGCTCGCCAGAGATTCTTTGCCGATGCTAGACCTCCCACCACCGGTGCTCCCACTCCTGTCACCCCGTCCTCCGCGTCGCCTGTGCCCCCGGAGGTTGTCATTCCTAAGCCGGAGCCTACCGAGCAGGGTACTGTTGCCATCGTCACTCGAATACACCGCAAGAACTGCAAACTGATCCGATCACAGGCTCCGAGGTTCCTCCCGTCGCGCCTACTCCAGCTCCCAAGAAGGGTGGCCGTTTCCGCCGATTCCTTCTCTACCTGCTTCTGACTTCGGGCTTCGCTTACGGTGGTGGCATCTTCTTGGCTCTCAAATTCGACAACTTCCATGACTTCTTCACCGAATATATCCCCTACGGTGAAGAGAGCATTCTATACTTTGAAGAACGAGACTTCTACCGTCGATTCCCCAACACCTTGAAGAGCCAGGTCCGCTTCCCTCTTCGTAGGGATGAGAGCAACCAGATCACGATCCCTAGCAAGAGCGGATTGACCTCGAAGGTTGCCGAGGAGGAGTCAGCTGGAGCTGATATCTCGCAGAAGGGTCCCCACATGAGCACCGTTCAGAAGGACAAGGGCAGCGAAGCGCAAGCCAAGCCTGCCGCTGCCAAGCCCGAGGAGAAGTCCGCCGCGGTCGAGAAGGCCAAGGAGACGAAGGCTGCCAAGGAAGAGGCACCTAAGCCGGTCGAGAAGGAGGAACCCAGACAACCTGCTTTGCCCGCAGTGACCCCTCTCGAGTTCGCCAAGGTCAACGAAGGCGATGAGGCTATTGTCCAGGAATTGGTGAAGACTTTCAATGATATCATCACCGTGATCAGTGCCGACGAGAGTGCCCCGAAGTTCTCCAAGCCTGTTGAGAAGGCCAAGGAGGAGCTCCAGAAGATTGGCGATAAGATTATCGCTGTCCGGGAAGAGGCGCGCCGTGCTGCTCAGGAGGAGATCAACCAGGCCCACGCTACCTTCGACGAATCCGCGCGCGAGCTCATCCGTCGCTTTGAGGAAGCTCGTGCCACCGATGCCGCTCAGTATCGCGAAGAATTCGAGGCCGAGCGTGAGAAGCTTGCTCGCGCTTACCAGGAGAAGATCCGCACAGAGTTGCAGAGAGCCCAGGAGCTGGCTGAACAGCGTCTTAAGAACGAGCTGGTCGAGCAAGCCATTGAGCTTAACCGCAAGTACCTCCATGAAGTGAAGGATCTGGTGGAGCGTGAGCGTGAAGGTCGCCTCAGCAAGCTCAATGAACTGACTGCCAATGTCAGCGAGCTGGAGCAGCTTACCACCGGCTGGAGAGAGGTCATTGACACCAACCTCAAGACCCAGCAATTGCAGGTTGCCGTCGATGCTGTCCGCTCGGTTCTTGAGCGCTCTGTGGTTCCTCGCCCGTTCGTGCGCGAACTCGTTGCCGTGAAGGAGTTGGCCGCTGAAGACCCCGTCGTTGATGCGGCTATCGCCTCGATCAACCCCACCGCCTACCAGCGTGGTATTCCCTCCACATCTCAGATCATCGAGCGCTTCCGTCGGGTAGCCGATGAGGTCCGTAAGGCAAGCCTCTTGCCCGAGGATGCGGGTATTGCCAGCCATGCTGCCAGTTTCGTTCTGAGCAAGGTCATGTTCAAGAAGGATGCTGTTGCTGGCAGCGATGATGTTGAAAGTGTTCTCTGCCGGACCGAGAGCCTTCTGGAAGAGGGCAACCTTGATGGCGCCGCCCGTGAGATGAACAGTCTCAAGGGCTGGGCCAAGATCCTGAGCAAGGATTGGCTGGGTGAAGTGCGCCGAGTGTTGGAAGTGAAGCAAGCCCTAGAGGTAAGACTAACCCTGATGCAGTGGCTATGACACGTTGTTCCCTTTTGCAGTTCAGGCTAACACATCTCATTATTACAGGTCATCGAGACTGAAGCGCGTCTACAGTGCCTGAGGGTCGAGTAAACCAATACCCTCCGCGTTTGTTTAGTTTTCTTGTATCTCATGCCTCCTCTTCCTCCTCCTACAGGAATTGTACCTCTAGTTCCCAATCGCGTTGTTAGACTCAATGCTAGATGTTTCCTCTGTGTGTCAAAACGGTGAGACTGTACAGTATTGTAGTTCTATGATTAAAATGATTGCAACGTCATTTGGTACTGTTGACTTGATCGTCCGCCGGCCGTCGCTGTTTGCCATGTTTGCAGCTCCCCGTGCTCCGCCGCATGATGCAGTTGGGGGGATTGAAGTGTACGACTAACGTCGTCTCGACAGCACAGACCGACGAACGTGCACCTATTGTGTTGCCCCTAGTTTCTTGCCTGTGCTCTACAGTACCATGTTCAACTTTTAGCACTACTCTGCTTGGGCATCTCCATGTCCTCTTCACCCTGTGAGCCGAGCCCCCTATTTACTCCGGCGGGACGGACCACCAATTCGTCACCCTGGTTCTAATGTCGCCCAAGACCGATGAACCGCCCACCGCATCCCTTCCCACTCCTGGCCCGAATGACACGTTGTCGAAATCTCGTCAACTCTCAAGCAATCCTCATGACGCATCCACTCGACTAAGAGAGCCGCAGATGAACGAGGGACGGGCGAGCGGGGAGCTGGAGGGGAGTACGCTAGGCAGTAGCTCTCGAGACGGAGATAAGACAACAAGTCGAGTCCAGCGACGGACACACGGCCCCGGTGGATTCTTTGTCGACTCATCCTTCCTACCCGGCTCCAAGAGCTTGAAAAGCAGCCATCACCAATTCCTCCGCCGTTCGGGGTCAAATCGGAAAGAGAAACGAGAAGCTCCTTCTGAGCCGGGTCTGGAGGTATCAAAGAGACGATCGCGATTTCCGTGGAGTCGTCAGAAGGAACAGAAGCTGGACTCCGCTGAGGCCCAGGCAGCTGAAGAAGAGGCTACTGCTTCTGCGCATGTGGCGGAAGATGCGGAACCACACCAGGAGCAGGCAGAAACGGAGACGCCGGACAACCAGGCTGCCATGGGCCTGGACAAGGATTCCTTGCAGATCGTCAATCTCGCGCTGAATTTGAGCGAGTCCCGAAAAAGGAACAGTCTAGGACGTTCGGCGTCCAACCGCTTTCCGGGCAATCGGAGGCTGGTGTCGGCCGGTCAGCCTGCTGCTCCTTACCCTGACATTCAGCCGATGACTTCTGCGGGCGGCCTTCGCCACGGTAGCCCCCGACATCACGATGCAGTGCACAAGTGGAGCGATCGCTACAACAAGCCCACCATCTCGGAAGGAGTGGCGGAATTTCCGGCCCATGCCCCATCCTCGGTGCTCAGTCTCCTGCCTCAGTCGATCGATTCAGAAACTCTGCCTTCTGGGATCTCAGAGAGCACTCTTATCCGGGCTGAGAAGGCCCGCCGTCATTTTGAGCTGCTCTCCGAATACCTTCGGCTTCTGTCGTCGCTTCCGCCTCTGGAGCATCTCGACCCGTTGGTTACAGATTCGGTATCAGTCGCGAGTAATGGCGAGCTCTCCGTCAGAAGATACAATCCTCTCCAGTGTATCCGTAACAGGAAAGTGAGATTTCGCGAGCGATGCAGTATTGATACCGAAGCTGAAGGATGGTATGACACCGAAAGGGTACACGAATGGGTTGACTCTGTGGAGTCGTTGTACAGCCATCGCAATCACAGCGCCGTGGAACGTCTACAACTTCCGTCGTTTCCAAAATCACGGAAATATGTGCCTTCAGAACATCAGCTGGATATTGATTATCTTGCAGCCTCTCCTCCTTCGAGCCTGAGGCGTGCTAGCCGTACTAGCAGTGTCAAAGCCCGCAGGCCGCGATCAGATTGGGTAATTGATCCGGCAGAAATGCTTTCCGATGCTGCGTGGGTTGAAGATGATCACAACAAGAGCAAATTGGTTGACAAGGACGGAAACCTCCTTTATCCGAACCCGAATATACTGATCGATGTCGGTATGGATGATGCCAATCTCAGTTTGGAGGAGAAACTGCAACGTCATCGACAATTCATGGACTCGGAGCAATACATTTCGCGTGCATCTTTATCCGACGCTCATCCTAGTCTGACAAGCGGTACACGTGGAAGGCAACGGCACAGGTTTCGGACTTCCGGCCGTAGCACGCATGATAGCGATATCTCCGTCAAAGATTTGGAGCCGGGAAGTCGGAAGCTTGGCTTGTTTAGCAGCTCCGCGAGCACGTCCAGCGCGGATGACCGGCTACACCGTTACCTGCGCGCTGACAGGACAAGCTCTCCTGGGAAATATAACCCGCCAACGCTGGGTGCATTCCAAACAAGGAGCTCTGGGGCGATATCTGAAGATGACAGTCTCACAGGGATCAGGTATACCCCGAGCCATGGTCCCCCTCCCCGCCATAGAACTGGGGCCCGCGCTAGATCAGAAGGGAAGCGAAGCTCCATGTCCTCTGTGCCGAGCATCGATGATCGTTACGACACTTTGACAAACATGGCAACCCTCGATAACAAGTCCCCTGGTGTTCATTCCCAGTTGGGTTTCTTCCCTAGTATTGCAAGCAATCTATCTCCCCCGTCAAGCCGGTCTCCATCACCCTCTAAGGGACGCTTTTCGCGGGCCCGTGGCTCGCGTCACGAGCGCAGCAAGAGCAACATTCGCGCAAAGGACAACGTTGATGAAAATCTGCCAGACACGGACGGTGTACGTCAACATAGCTTGTCGGAAGCCGCGGGTCGCCTTGGATTTGAACCCAGTCCCCTTACCTACCAGACCACGTCATCTACGTACCAGGATGAACTTGATAAGCCTCAATCTCCGATGCGGAAGGACGCCGCTCAAACAGAGTCGAGGCTACGCGGCATTCTCAAAGGGCCTGGGAAGATAGCCGAAAAAGTAGGCAATGAAATGTCGAAGGTCGGCGATCGTATCATGAAGAAAGATTCGATGGCGATGGCACGCAAGACCTCACTTTCTAGCCTAAGCAGTTCGGACTCCGACAATCCTGATGAGGCCGAGGAGATAAAAGGCGACAGAACGACAGGCGCCAAATCTCTTTTACGCCGGTTGCCTGCGTTTGCAGATGATGGCATTCGGCCTTCGCGCAAGAATCTGGAAAGAGTCGGTACACACAACGAGGCATTGCTGTCGCCACATTTATTGGCGCCTGCTGGACAGGAGCAGTTTACTCAACTTCAAAGCTCTGATTCTACCGACCTGCCAGGCCACTCTACGGAAACTAATATTTACCACAACATGGACGGCTCTCAGAGAGATGTTGGAAGTTTCTCTGCTTCCCTCTCAAGCAATACAAATGTCCACGCACCACCCACGCGCCTCGAGAAATTGTTCGGACCCGAAATACATACAATCCGGGAACAAATCCAGAAAGGCCGGATTAAGGATCAGTCTGTTCCTTTCAGTCTCACCCGTCCACCTATCACGGGTCTTGCGCAGGCCACGGTGGAAGCTTCCCCAGCGTCGCAAAACAGGCGCCCTGTGTTAGATGCCCAGTCCAGAAGTTGGAGTATCTCCAATCGCAGTCTCTCCACTGCCCTCGTCAGTGGTATCCCTGGAAAACGCGAGGTTGAACGAACTCGAGCATTGCTCCTTACTTCGGGAATCAAGGCCCGGGAAATCACCCGCCGGGCCGGCACTGTGCGTGAGCCACCTCCTGAGTTCCTTCTGCGCACATATGGTGATGCCTCCGTACCCGTGCCACGGGTGACTCGACTCTGCGAGTATGATGCAGCGGCGCAGGGACTACTCAAGAGATTTGAGGAAACCAACCATGCTTTCCGGCAGGCCATGGACAACTTTTCGGGCTCGGTGTCATCGCCACTGAATGCTCAGCTGAGAAGACTTGAGAAGATAGTCAATGAGAGCATCAGCCCTCGCGTTCAGGCAGCGACGCAAGATGCCGAAGATTTGAGCATTCAGCTCAACACCACCAGCACCCTTGCGGTGAAGCAACTGAGCGATACCCTCGACAAAGGTATGCGCAGGCGTCATCGCAGGTTGCGCTGGGTCCGACGCACCGGGTTTGTCATGCTCGAGTGGGCGCTCGTTGGTATGCTGTGGTGGGTCTGGCTCATCGTCATGGCTTTCAAGGTGCTTCGGGGCATCTTTCGAGGATTTCTCTCGGGCGTTCGATGGATTCTGTGGCTGTAATCGCAGAAATGGATTGACTCGGGTCAGTCAATGTCCAGGCCATTTCCTTCTGTTTCGTACTTTCTATTTCTTTGTACTATACATTTTTAATTCCGAGTATCTACATAATAGTGATGTCTTGTAACCCTTTTTGTGATCCGTGTCGAACCGTGAAGCCAAGAGGTGGTGATAGCAATCCTAGTGTCTAGGTAGGCAATATATAGGAAAGAGGTACAATTGGAAGCTGGTTGGAGTGGCATGGCGCCTTCACCCCAGTGAGGGGACAGCATGTACTGTACGGTCGACCACGGTACCTCAACTGCCAGAGTGTCGACACTATTCTTCCATCACAAACGGAACCTCCCGCACAAAAGCTTTGTTTTCTTGTCACCTTGATAGCGGACAGTTTGCAGGAGATTTTCGACAGACTCTTTATTCCACCATGGTTCAAGCCAGCTTCGATTCTCAGGTATACTATACTAACAGAATATATATGTTCTGTCTGTTCCCTCCGGCGCGCCCCCTCTTCGTCGTTACTATTCAGTATTTCTCAAACCACTACATACTTGGTTCACACCTACCCGCGGTCTAACTTTTAGTCTACAAGGTCTATACCAGATATACTGTTACATTTACAGATCGACACACACAGCACACCAAGCTGAACCCAGTACACAGCACATACATCAGTATCTTCACCCAGCCAGCCGTTTTCATCATTCGCAATGCCATCGCTGAAAGGCATACTGCATGGTCGCGTAATCACCACTGACGCGGGCCACCAGCAACAGGAGGGGGGCGGCGGTGGCCTTCGCCGCTCCAACGCAGTCAAGCACCACGGCCAGCAGCAGCAACAACAAGCGTCCGCGGGCACCACTCTCGAGGAACGCTACGAGTTTCCCAGGCGGGGAGTAGTCCGTACGAACACCGCTCCGGGCATCGGGTCCGGCGCCCACGGCCCCACGGTTGTGAATGCGCGGGCACGGGCAACTACCTCTGCGGCAGCGCAGCCGGGTTCCGAGTGGAGTTATGTCCCGGTTAATGCCAAGCCTCGACAGTACCAGGGTCTTGGTCCCAGTCAGCGAGAGCAGCTGGAGCGGCATGCGCTGGATAATGAGCATGATCAGCGGACGCAGCGGTGGGTGGCTGACCAGCAGAAGCGCATGGAGCTGACGCAGCCGGTGACGCGACAGCCGTTGCCGGTGCCTCCTCGGCCACCACAGTCTCAACTACGACCGGGACCACAGATGCAGCAGCAGCAGCGACAGCAGCCGCAGCCCACCATCCCCAGCAGCGGAAACCGACGGCCGTTCTTCAAGAACGATATGGAAGTGGATGCCTGTGTGCGCAGCACCTCTTCCTATGAAGTTGGGATCCTGAACCAGGGGGATTGGAGAACTGGTAAGTCGGTCCATCCCGTGCAGGCCAGACGGCCGGTCCACGTCGTCACGCCCAGCCAGTGCCCTGTCTCCCGAGTCGCGTCGCCGGTCGATGAGATCTCCGATCAGAGAGAGGCAACTCGTAGGGTCTTGCGGCGCAGGGATTTACCCGATAGGTGATGTACTTAGTAGTGGGGATTTGAACGGGCTGCGTGCTGGTTTCGTAGCTTCTTGTGGTTCTTTGACTTTTATGCATTGCCGGGGGACTGGTTTCTTGATCAGCATCAGCATCAGCATCAGCATGAACGGGTTTTCTCTGCTGTGTACGGTGAATGAGATCATGGCCATGGCTGGTCAATAGACTTTTCTGATACAAAGTAACTTAATATGGTTGATGATGTTTTGTTCTTTCATCCTTCTTACCCTTGTTTTCTAAAACCTTGTAGTAAACCATTGTATTATTGTTAGATGGATATAAACTCCCACCGAAAGCGTTCTATTATGCCTGACACTCGTCAAATAAAAGATATAGGGCCTTTGCCCACAGCCCTTGTATTGTTAGCAGCACAAAGTGAGTCTGAATAAAGCTGTACCTTATTGAGCAGCAACAATCACTCTTTGGCTCTCAATAAACAATAGAAACAGTCAAGGTTGTGTTGGGAGGTTGAAAGAAAGAGATCACGTGCCGCATACAGCAGGGACCCTGGCTTCACCGCCGAAACAAGCTCAGGAACAACCGGCAGAATGACTTCAGGCGGTCAGCGCGGGTTAACCCAATTAGGAACCTCAGAAATACATCATGTGTAAGCCTGGAAGCCGCATCCACCCCTCCAGGCTCAATCTACCCGTGGGTGGGGAGGTTTACCCAATCTTTACATTTACATGGACGGCGGCAGCAGCAGCAGCAGCTGCTGCTGCTGTAAGACTACCTACTTCTGTTACTGTACTAAGCAGACCGATCTTCCGTTTCAGATAAGGTTAGGACAAAGAATGCAATCAGCCAAGAAACCCGCGTCTCGCAATGGATGGATGGAGGGGGTGTTGAAGGAAAGAAAGAAAGAAATTCAATGGCCTCCAGGCTTTTACCTCCCCCCCTCCCCCCCCACTCTCTCGTGTCCGGGCCCAGAACGCCGATCAGGAACCTGTCTGCCAGGCGAGCGATTTTTTTGGTGACCCGCATGACGCAACGCAATGTGGCTGGGATGTTGTCAACTGTCTAGTCAACGCAACGCAACCCGCCATTGATGAAAAGAGAAAAAAAGAAATCTCTCAATGACTGACTCAAACTTTAGGAGGCGGTCAACCTTCCAATCCTGTCTTGTGTCTTGTCTTGTTCTTGTCAGGGGATAGATAATTTTGTGTTGGATGGAACGACTAGATTTTGGGTGCATAGGATGATGGGTCATGAGGGATAATTCGACAGGCCACCAGATCGAATCATCAGGCGGGAGATCTCGATCCGAGGTCCATGGTAACTTACGGAGGGCTCTACATTATACACAAGACAATGGAGGCGAACGGGAATCAACTCAACTACTGCAGTGGCACAGTGGCAGTGTGAGAAGACAAGACGAGATGAGACAAGACCACGTCAACCATGCCTGCATGCCTGCTCTCTCTGCAAGATGCAACGGCGGGTCGGGGATTGAGGGAAGAACTCGAGGACTCAATCGTGATTGGAATTCTTTGGATACTCAAAACTCATACTTGTAGCTAGGGGGAGGCGATAGGCAGGGTAACCGTACTGTGTCGAGCACGGCAGATAGGCTTGGAGTACTTGATTTGGGTAAAAGAGAAGAGAAGAGAGGCTGCAAGGCTTTAAGTCACGCATGTCAGTCACAATACCGTCACAGACTCATCGACTATTTTCCGAGTCACGGCTAGTGCCGTAAGCGCTGCGTTTCTCTTCTTGTCTACGGTAAATTACTGGTTACTGTGAACGACCCCCACTACGTCCTACTACGGGTAACGGAGCACTGGCTACCGCTTTCCCTCTCCTCTCCCTCTCCATTTTCCCCTCCTTCCTTTACTTCCTCGTTGTGTTCGTTCCTCTCACCACACCACATCCCCATTCCATTCAGGTGAGTTTCTCTCCTTACGCTACCTTGTTCCTTGCTGCCTACACCCCCCCCTACATCAGTGATTTTCAGGTCATCTGTCATTTCCTGTCAGATCAAGGAATCAGCATCATTCCCCCACCCCCCGGTGTCTGCCTGACGCCGTGCCCTTTGCCCTAAATTTCCCTCCCCTCCACCGGAAGTGTCGATAAAATTCTGCACGCACCTCTTGTCTCCTTCCCCCCCCCCCCCCCCCCCCCATTTTTTTTTTTTTTTTTTTTTTTTTTTTTTTTTTTTTTTTTTTTTTTTTTTTTTTTTTTTTTTCCCCCCACGACCCAGGAAATTAAATCTCGCATCACTTTTATCTCGATATCCGAGTTCTTGTTGCTCGTTTTTTTCCCCCGTCAATCCCACCGCTAACAGTTGGGCTGCTCGGGTCAGATCGTTTCTTATTTCTCGGAAGTAGAAAAAACCCTGTTTTTTCTCTTTCCCTCTTCACCTCACTCTTCTTCAATCGCAATTTCAAGGCCTTTGGAATCCACCAGTTCCAAAGGCAACTCAGGGCACCACGGCTTACACAGCCTCGCTTTCTCTTCGTCAAATTGTATCGCATAGACGTCAACGCGACACTCTTAATAACATTCCCCCTCCTCCTGGTCTCGATCTCCGTCCCTCCGTCCGGTGCGCCATTTTTTCATAAATTGACGCCCTCACAATTCACACCTTCGCCTTTTGAGCTGCCGCATAGGACTTCTCTGACGGTTCTTCCTCTCAAGGAGGAAGGGTCTAGGAGGCTTGGTCCAGTCAACCTCGGTTGCGAAACTTTTCGTCCTCCCTAACACGCAGTCGCGTTAAAAACAACCTTTTTTCACTTTCTTTTTTATCTTTATCTCAAGACCTATCCCGTGCTTCGTCGCAGCGCGCATGGTTATGGCACCGACTGCTTGTTTGCCAGCTGAAATATGCACCACCATCAAACATATTCCCGACAAAAACAACTATAATCTCAATTGGGATCATGGTCAATTCAGCTATCATGGAGAGGACGATCAGCCGCAGTCTAGGTTGGCTGCCAAGGAGCTTATCCTGGACGTCCTGAAGAAGCGTGCGTCTGAGGTGGACGTCGACGCGTGCGCCCCGGGCGCTGAAGATGCCTTTTATGTGGCAGATATGGGCGAGATTTACCGCCAGCATCTGCGTTGGAAACTGAATCTAAGCCGTGTCCGGCCCTTCTACGGTAAGTCTGACTGAAATGGGACGATCACAGGGGAAGACAGCGACTGATCTTCGATATTCATTAGCCGTCAAGTGCAACCCGGATCCGGAAATCCTCCGCCTCATGGCCAAGCTCGGCAACGGTTTCGACTGTGCCTCTAAGGCGGAAATTGACCTGGCTCTCGAGACCGGTATCGATCCGAGCCGCATTATCTATGCGCAGCCTTGCAAGACCAAGTCGTACCTGCGCTATGCAGCCCAGATGGGCGTGAAGCAGATGACCTTCGACAATGCCGATGAACTGTACAAGATCAAGTCATGCTACCCTGACGCGGAGCTATACTTGCGCATCCTCACGGATGATTCTTCCAGCATGTGCCAGTTTAGTATGAAGTTCGGAGCATCGATGGATGTCGCCCGTCACCTGCTGGAGGTTGCGTACCAGCTCGAGCTGAAGGTTGTCGGTGTGAGCTTCCACGTCGGATCTGGTGCGGAAGACCCCAAGGCTTTCCTGAAGGCCGTGCAGGACGCGCGGCTGGTCTTCGATCAAGCCGCTGAGGTGGGCCACGAGCTTCACACTTTGGATGTTGGTGGAGGTTTCAGCCAGGATACCTTCGAGAAGTTCGCTGGTGTTCTCAGTGACGCTCTGGAAGTCTACTTTCCGCCGAACATCCGCGTCATCGCCGAGCCCGGCCGCTACTATGTTGCCAGCGCCTTCACCCTGGCTGCCAATGTGATTGCTCGTCGTGATGTGCGGGACCCCGAGAACCCGACGCAGGATGCGTACATGTTGTATCTCAATGACGGGGTGTATGGGAACTTTTCCAACATCATCTTTGACCATCAGCACCCTGTGGCTCAGGTCTTGACCTGCGACCCGAACGTCAATCCTCCGAATGCTGCGACTTCGGAGGGCATCGCCTACTCTATCTGGGGGCCGACTTGCGATGGCATTGATGTCATCAGCAAGCGCATCAACCTTCCGGCCCTTCTGAACGTAGGCGATTGGCTGTACTTTGAGGATATGGGAGCCTACACCCGGTGTAGCGCGACCCGCTTCAATGGTTTTTCGGACAACCACGAGGTGATCTATATCTCCAGCGAGGCTGGAGCTTCTGCTCTTCTCGAGTACTAGGTGTTCTTATCTCAATTTCTGTTCATGCTTTTTGGATTTTAATGCACAATTGTCTTTCGTCTTTTACCAAGCAACCGGTGCTGCTGTCACAGCGCGTTTGTCTTGACCATAATTATCCATGTTTTCTTTCATAGAGTAGATGCAAGGGACCCACGAGGGGAGCTTGAATTCTAGCAGAAGTCTGTACTTAGTGTTTTTTCCGGTGTGTGTTCAAACACAACCGTGTGAAAGTACCGCACCTGTTCGTTCGATTGATTATATTTCGTTCATTACTGTTATGCTTCTGGCCGCTCCTTTCCAATCTCTAAATGTCGTCTATCATTCATCTGGGAATCAAGTCTAACTATCATAGAACCGAACGCTTCCGCCGCAACCCTTCAGTCGTGTCGTCCTCCGTCATAAAAGTCATGTGCCAATATCTAAATCGAAAAGAAAGAAACTGAGATCTAGTTCCAAAACAGTCACCACGCCCAGGAGCCAGCCCCTGCGCGCTGTATATGGTAGGTAAAAGAAGGTAAATAGATTGCATGTCGGAAGCTCTAGAGCAGTCGCTCCACAGCCAACTCGGCGTCGTTGGGTCCAGCAACCTGTACAAGGCCGCCGGCTTCGAGCTTCTTCTTCCACTTGGCGGATTCATAGCGAGCCAAAATTAATGTAATCCGGGCTACCACGGCGGGGTCGGCGTTCTCAGCGACGATGTCCGATGGTGTGAAGGTCCAGCGACCGAAGGCCCAATTCAGAATGTAATAGCGGGTGGCGGGGCCGTTGGCCGAAGCGGGCGTGACGGCGCCTTGATCTTCCGAGGATTCTGCGGGAGGCGCGCTGGTCGAGCACCGCATGATGCCCTTGATGCGATAGACTTCTTCCTTGGAGGCGGAGCGAAGGAGCTGCTCCAGAGCCGGGACGTCAACGACAGTGGCATCGGTGGACTTGAGGTTGACGGAGAGGACTTCCACCTCGGATTGATGATCGTTCTTGTGGTCATGGCCGTGCTCGTGGTCATGGTTATCATGACGATGCTCTTCCTTGGCGAACAACGCCCCGTCAATCCCCAGCAGCACATCCTTGTCGACCCTGCCGCGATCGGACTTGACCCACGGCGTGGGGACCTCGAGGTCCCCGACCCGGTCGAGGCAGATGTCAAAGCGCATCTCCGAGACATTCTCCCACTTGTTGAAGACGATCAGGTCGGTGTATTTCGCCTGCAGCTTCGCCGTGTACGAGGTGTCTTCGTAGCCCTCCCAGTTCTCCACGTCGATGACGCTGATCACCCCGTCCAGGACAAAGGTGCCGGGGCTCTCGCGCGCCAGGCGGTTCACCTCCATGGCCAAGGTGGCGGGGAAGGCGCTCCCGCTGGTCTCGATGACGATGCGGTCCGGCCGCACCTCGGCGCGGAGCTGCTCGAGCGCGTCGCTCAGCTGACCGACGAGGTTGCAGCAGATGCAGCCGTTGAGTAGTTCGCGGACTCCGGAGATGGATTGCGTGGAGGCGAGCTGCGAGTCGACGGCGACGTCGCCGAATTCGTTCTTGAGCAGCGCCAGCCGGTAGGTTGCAGGCAGTTGCGGGATGAGGTTGAGGAGCAGGGTGGTTTTGCCGGAGCCGAGGAAGCCGGTGACGATGGTGATGGGGATTGGAGGCATTTTGCTGTGAAAGGAATGTAGAGCTTTTGGAGAAGTGTAAGTGTATAAGTGTATAAGTATAAGTGTAATGAGGGGAAAAATAGAGAGTGAGTGAGTGATGGAGTGGGAAAGGCGAAAGAAGATAAGAGAGTGAGTGCAGATGGTTGATTTCGGACGGCAGAATTCGGCGGTGGCGGAGGGGCTGCGAGGGGGTGGCGCTAGTCTGGATTGGTAGAACCCTAAGTCAACTGGCGGTTGAGTTATTGATTCACGTGTAGTCAGTCTTTCTGCAGGGGGTCTGATTCGATTGTGAGCCTATCTTAGAAGAAATGGATTGTCTTTGAGGAGACTGTAGCGGCTGTTTTCAATATTGATTTGTATATCAGTGTGCTGAGAGAAGCGCTGCGGCAGTGACTTGGGCATGGCATGAAGTTGATCGCCCGTGGTTGTTCCAGTTGTTATGAGTAATATGACCCCTGAAAAAAGGGCTTAGTGGCGTGATGCTCTACGGCTAAGGTAAGTTTCGAGTAGTATGCTTCACAGCTGGCCTTTTTCGCTGTGAAGTGAGACATCTTCCAGGTACAGTAATCGGAGCGCTTCAGGATAGACAAGCACAACACACCCATCCGTTGATTGCGAGTATGTAGTCCAGTCGAGTTCAACCCCAAGCTCAGTACTGTTGGTGATCCACCAAACATCAGCCAAATTTCCTGTCAAGCTGATAAAAGTAGTGCACACCAAGCCAGCTAACAGTCATATCCGAGGTGTGAAACCCCAACCCGATCCACAAGGCTGAAGTTGACTGCATAGTAACCCGGCCCAGTGCCCCCCGATGATATCATCCCCCGTCCGTCCCGGTTACCCGCTTGATGTCATCTCCAGCCCTACCAGGCGACAGCCGATTCCGGAATTGATTTGACTTGCACTGGGGGATCTAGTCTAGACCGTATCAACGTCAACTTTCCTCATTCTTTTTATGTTCTTCCTTCAGCTTGGTCCTTGGATTGTACTGTATCTCGACCCCTTTTTTTTTTTGGTACGGACAGTACTTACTGTGCCCAAACAACATTCTGATTACTTCAAACGCTTTCTGTTCCTGTGATCTTGTGATCTTGTGCTCGAAAATGAAAACCGTCGACGACACCGCCCGCGACCTCGGCTGCGTGGACCCCCACGAAGTAGACTTCCTCGAGCGCCAACAACAGGAGCGGGAACGCGAGCTGCAACTGTCACTGCCCGCCCAGCAGCAAGAGCAGCAGCAGTCACTGCCGCCGCAGCATACCTCCTCCGATCCCGCCTCCATCCCCTCGACCTCGACCACGTCCACATCCTCAGGAATCCTCCCGCCCCCCGAGAAACTCAGCGAGGTGGCCAGTACCTCGATCCAGGAGGTGCGGACGATGCTGAATGCAGCGTACGAGAGCGAGTTCGTTAGTCAAGCGATGCAGCGGGTGCGGGAGTATGTGCCAGGCTTAGTGGGCGACAGGGCGGAGGGGAATGGTGAGTCTTCTGGATTATCTTCGCGTGAGATGCGGTTGTGGAGTTTACTGACTTTGTGGGTTGACTGTAGGTGAGGAGGACCGATCCGCCGCCGACCCCGAGGAGATGCGTCGGATCGACGCGCTGGAGAAGGAACGGATAGTGGAATTCTTGCAGGAGAGGACGCGGACGAAGACGGATCTGGAGAAGAAGTACCATCACCAGACGGAGCGGCCGCCGCCGAGGCAGTGATTGTTTGCACTTCACGAATCATTGATCGCGCTTAAGCCTGGTTTCTTTTTTTTTTTTTTGTTTTCTTGCGGTAGATGAATGGGATTGTGGATATCCATCCGCTTGGAGCCATATTTCATGAGGCAGGACAGTATACAAGAGTTCAAAAGTGTTATTCTCAAGGCTAAGCTACAGCAAAGCCCGCATCCCCAGGTCCCCGCGCCGCTCCAGCCCCAAGAACTCCGCCACCTGGCCCAGATGATCCACCCCGAAGAACCCCTCCGTCTCGCCCTGCGCATTCGTGCACTCGAACCACGGCACCCCGAACGCCCCGGCCTGGAAGGCCCGGTCCGTGTTGGCCGTGAGCAGCGCTTTGATCGCGGGGGTTTGCATCTAGTCCACGTATCAGATTGCTGTCTCACTACTTATCCTTTGGCCTCCTCGGAGGGAGACAAGGTCAATGTTTCTGGGAAGAAAGAGGAAAGGGGACATACAGCCTCAACCACCCTTCCCGCCACCTCTTCCCCCAATACCCGCTGCAGCACCGGCACGAAACATCCCGGCTCCGCGATCCGCCCGTCCCCGTCCACCCAGAACGTCCGGTAGAACGCCTCCTGCACGGCCACGAGCTGCGTCGGGGCCAGCTGCGCCACGGCGGCCAGCGCCCGCTGCGTGTGCAGCGTGCGCGGCGGGAAGTCCGGCGGTGGGGTCGGGATGATCGGGACGGAGAAGTAGGTCGCCCAGCGGGTGCGTTCGTGGTTGATCCAGGCGGATTTATCTGGGGGGGTTCTGCCGGTTAGGTGTGTTTGGTTTGGGGGGTCACCCGGGGGCTAGCCCGGGGGGGAGGTGGGATAGATTATACGTAGACGTACTCTTGATCTCCACGGGGGGAGTGTTTCCGCAGGCGTGCATAAGTCCACCCAGGAAGATGGGGATGTAGGTTATCTTGCAGTTGGCAAAGACAGGGGAGTTCTGGTTTGGGGGGTTAGGTTGTGGCTATTGGGTTTATAGTACGGGAACAACTTACTCGGAGGACGTGGAAGGCGATATACCCAAAGGGACTGACGGTGTCTATGTAGAGGGTTATACTGGGGCCGGACATTCTTGCGGGGCTGGTTGGTTGCTTAGGGGGTTGACTGGGGTCTGAGAGATATAGGATTGTTTTATTTCCGTGGTTCTATGGTTCTATGGTTGAGATATCTATATGTGTACTCAGAGTAAGTAGTCAGGCGCTCCTCCGCACGGCTGACTCAGCGCCGAGAGCCGAGGTTGTTTGGGTTGATTAGTCGTGTTGGGGTGTAGCTGGGGGCTCGACACTGCCACCGGCTGCTGTCTTGCGTCAAACTATTGCTTTTCTGATTGAGTTATACGCAAAGGGACCGGGGTGGAAGTATAAGCTCTACAGGCGCTCTCGTGAGCAGGTGTGGCGTCCAAAGGTCAGTGCGAGGTTGTGTACAGTCATGGAGTAAGTCTAGGTGACGGCGGGAAAACCATAACTGTGCGTGGACTTTTCACCCTATGCTTGTTTCAAAGTGTACTACTGGAGTTAAGAAAGACTTCGATATTGCTAAATTCTATCAGTAGTTGTATTCCAATCTAGTACACAGTGGCACTGGTACACCTATCCTTCGCTTGTGCGAGGCAGGACCTCCAAACCCCGCTTCATGCCTCACGCGAGGAAAATGATATCAGAGGCACCGCCAAACAAATCGAGGACCCTAGCTACGAGATAGAGACGCCTAGACCGGTGATAAAGAAGCATGCGAAGAAGGGTAACAAAAAGAAAGCTAAGCGAAACCGGCCAACAACTTGTGCTGCGACTTCCATTTCCCCAGATAGAAATCCGCCATCGATAGAGGAGGCTGCCTCTGAAGAGCCTGCTCCTCAAGAGCCTCCGGCAGCCGAGGGGTCTGCGTGGTGGCCTGAAGGATCTCCGTTGGCCGAAGAGCCCTCATCTGTCCAATATCTTGCCGCAGTTGAACATGCTGCTGATTTCGACCAAGCTGCAGACGAACCTGCTCCCGCGAAGTTGCTTGACAGTGATACCGATGAGCCGCTTGACGTGCCGTGCTTTCGCATCCAAGTCTCCGCAAAGCATTTGATCTTGGCCTCCTCCGTCTTTAAGAGAATTCTCACTGGCGGTTGGATGGAAAGCACTAAGTTCCTGAAACAAGGTTCTGTCGAGATTGATACAGACAGCTGGGATCTCGACGCTCTAATAATCGTTCTTCGTTTGATTCACTGCCAGTCTTTTCACAAACCACGAAAGCTTAGCTTGGAGATGCTTGCAAAGGTTGCTGTTATCGCGGATTATTACGAATGCGGCGAGGCTGTGGATATGCTGGCGCGCGTTTGGATAAGTGCACTGGATGAGACGATTCCCGCAACGTACTCCCGGGACGTCATTCTGCGGATATGAGTTTCCTGCTTCTATCGGGTTCCTGGGTGATTCAAACAAGCAACCTCAATTGCCATGTCGTGCAGTACCGAGTGGATCAGCAATCTGGGGCTTCCCATGCGAATATTCTACTCGAGGCTCGGGGGGAGACACCGGTTCAGAAAAAATGGGTTTATAAGTTCGTTAAAAGACATCCCGAACTCTCAAACCGATTCTCAAGACGCTATAATTACGAGCGCGCAAAGTGTGAAGACCCTAAAATCATCGGTGAATGGTTTACACTTGTTCAAAAAACTATCCTTGAGAAGGGTATTGATCCCGATGATATTTATGATTTCGATGAGACCGGTTTTGCGATGGGATTAACAGCAACCACGAAAGTTATTACAAGAAGTGAATATTACGGTCGGCGATCACTTTTACAACCTGGAAATCGCGAATGGGTGACTGCTATTGAATGTATAAATGCTTCGGGATGGGCGCTCCCTCCATGTGTGATTTTTAAAGGTAAGGTTTTTATTGAATCTTGGTTTGATAATCTTCCGGATAACTGGAAATTTGAAGTTAGCCCAAATGGCTGAACATCTGATGAGATCGGCCTTCGATGGCTTGAGAAACTATTTATTCCATCGACTTCTTCATATATGAAAGGGCGGTTTCGACTTTGGATCCTTGATGGTCGGTCACGGAAGCCATTTAACCCCAAAGTTTGATGAACTTTGTGAAAACAATGATATTATTCCAATATGTATGCCTGCACATTCATCCCATCTTTTACATTGGTTGTTTTGCGGTGTTAAAACGTTCATACGGTCGGATGGTTGAAAAAAAGATGCGTCTTGGGATCAACCATATTGATAAACTTGATTTCCTCGCGGCATATCCCTTTGCCCGAATTGAGGCATCTAAATCAGAGACTATCAAAAATAGCTTTACAGCTGCTGGTTTAGTACCTTTTTCCCCTGATCGGGTGCTCTCAAAGCTTAATATTTGTCTTCGAACCCCAACACCCCCTGTGAGCCGGGGTAGCGAATCAAGCCGGAATTTTACACCAAAAACCCCTTTTACCGAGAAACAACTCCGACTCGGTCAACTAGGCATATAGCCCACGAAGGGGATCTCTCAGTTCAACAGGTTCGCGAGCTACGTGCAGAGCCATTTCACACCCAAGTCGCTCGTATAAATCATTATCGGGGGCAGGTTTCAGCGGGTTTACAGCCACCTACGCGAGGCCAGCGAGGATGTGGAATATGTAGGCGCCCAGGGCATAGAAGAGAGACATGCCCAGATAGAGAGATTAGTTTGTTGAATTCATTTAATGGCGTTTTGGTTGAGAAAAATGTAGTTGCATTTAGTAGAGGGGGTCAGGTGCGCAACTCGCTTACCGAATACCCAGGTCCCTCTTCATCAAGGACAGGCAACTTGTTACGATGCCTAGCTGTCCAGTAAGAATTATACATAAGAGCCCTTCTAGACCAAATATAGACCTGTGTAGCCCGCAACGGGAGGGCATGGGAAACATGAGCAATGTCGCCCAGTGAGAGGCATCTTGGGAGACTAGTAGAAAGAAGAGCCGCTTCTTGTGTGAACTCCGGGATTGTGCGGAGTGCACCATGAGCGAAATCTGGAGAACTCGTTAATGGAAGCTTGTTCTTCGGTAGATTATCCTAAAATATAGGGGCACCTGGAAGCCCAAGAACAGGATCCTTTTTTCGAGAGGGTCTGGCTCTTGGGAAAATCCTCTTGAGACGAGATCAGTCAGGAATGGCTTAGTGAAGAGCACAGACGGCATGGAACGCTATACGTCAGATGAGCTGGCTTCTAGGCCTCCGTCTCTCCTAGTCCAAGCATTCTAGGTCTAATCCCTCATCCCGGTGAAATCAAATGCCCTACGTGATGAAACAGCCGCGAGGTACCTGCACATTCAAGCATCATTACTGTCTATTCCCATACGAAGTGCTGTCTAATGACAGCGAATATAATAATAAATTAACCTTTATTATAAATGCTATCTAGAGCTGAATACATTACTTTGTCCCGGTGGTGAATTGTAAGACGATCGGTTGTGGACTGTTATGGGATGAACTCAGATTGGTTCTAACCTAAGCATGCCGTACAAACAAGAAGGAATAGTTAGAGAACAGAGCGCTAGCTTAGCACACACCTAAAAAGTATTTCGTACAAACAGACGAAATAGCTCTCCAGCTAGTTCTTTTTGTTTAAAGGCACGTTTCGATTAGCATAATCCATCCGTCCTGTAACACTATCCCTAGTAGGTCGTTCAAGGCCATCGGGCAATAAGGTACGGGACGCTCTACGTTGTCGCCCCGCAATTTTGCATGTCAACCAAGTTTTGTCCTAACATGTACAAGCTGAACGGTTGGGCATCAAATGGACAAATGATAGGCGAGGAGAACCTGCAAAATACTCCACAGATTGATGACAGTACGTATTCTTATATGGGTTACTTTGTTGACGTGGTCGCCTTTTCTATAATACAATTCAACCCAGTCTCTCCACTACCAGCCACTGCTCACATGTGAGATCTTTAGTTTCTTTTCCAAGGGTATTTATACAATGTGTGAATCTGGCCGAGGTAATATTGGCGTCTACTAACTCTTCATGATTCATAAGCAGTCTTGGGAGTTCTTTCTCGTTCAAAATGGGATGGCGAGAAATATTCCCCTCTCGAAAGAATCGTCAGCCGCAAAAGCACCAGAACGAGCAACAGACCTCAGTCAACCAAAAGCCAAAGGAAACATCCAACTGCAAGACTCCACAAATTCCACAGATCAGCGATACCCCATCCAAGAACAGCAATGTCACAGAATCTGCAACACAGAATACGCCTTGCCAGGCAGCAAAGAGCTCAACCAGCACCCTCGCTGTCAATGTGTGGAATCGTGCTTATGATCAGCTCGCAAATAATGAGAACACAAGAGCGCTTGTCGAGGCTTACTTCAAAGCCCTCAAGAAAGCGGGTAAGCCAGCTAGTTATGTCGGTGCGCCGGATGCCGATGAGGATATTTCCGAAATGAAGGACCAGGCTGGAAGAGACAAGATCCTTCAAGATGCCATCAAATCAGGCCAACAAAAAATCCACAAATCTATCTCTGCCACAAACACGGTCGGCAAGGTGTCAAGCTTCATTCTCCAATTCAAGGAAGTGGTCGACTTAGCGGTCGGAACTAATCCTCAGGCTGCCCTCCCCTGGGCTGGAGTCTGTATCGGTCTCACGGTCAGCTCCCTTTTCGATGGTTTCTCTAATTGAAAATGACTGACAGTTATTTAGTTTTTACTTAACCCGGCCAAAGCATCACAAGACAATCTGGACGGAGTCGGCTACGTGACCTCTAGAATGAAATGGTACTGCAGCCTGACAGATCAGCTCCTGAGCAGGGAATACATTGAGACCACTCGAGACAAGTCTTTTGAAGGTATCCTTGACCTATTGGAAGAACGAGTAATTGATCTGTATAAAGAGCTTCTCCTATTCCAGATGAAGAGCGTGTGCTCGTACTACAAAAACCAGGGCTGGGTTTTTGTCCGCAATCTGATCGATCTTGACGGTTGGGATGGCCAGCTCGAAGGAGTGAAGGCCACTGAGAAGGCCTTGCAAGCCGACTCAAAACAATACCACAACACCGAAGGGCAGAAGCTGATGCGAGAATTTGCCCTGAATGCTCAGGCCACACAAGAAACCCTTGGGACTTTTCATCAGACTCTACGGGATTATATTGCGGAGCAGTGGCGGAACCACCAAGATGGTGAATTCGGCGAATGTCTTCGACATATTTTTGTCGACGATCCGCAGAGGCAGATTGCTACGAAATTAAACAGTAATGACAAGTTGCTCAAAGAGTCCTATGAGTGGATCCTTCGCACCGAAGAATATCAAGCCCTCCAGGATTGGGAATCCGCTACTCAAATCCTGTGGCTATTTGGACCCGCCGGTACAGGAAAGACAATGTTGACAATTGGTATCATCACTCAAATGTTCCAAAAGTCGTCCAATATTACTGCTAGCATCTCTTCTTATTTTTGTGGGGCAAGAGGTGAAAACCAAACGCGTGTTATGGATGTACTTCGAACCCTGATTTGGGGACTGCTTATCCAACAACCACATCTCTTTTCTCATCTTAGAGAGAAGTACAAGAGCTCCGGAAAGAATTTGTTTACCGCCCCACGTACCTTTTGGTATCTTCGTGATATCTTTCTAGCTATGTTAGCCGATGAGCGCCTCACTCCTGTCTACCTAGCTGTCGATGCGCTTGACGAGTGCGAGAGGATAGCCAAGCATGACGAACCCGGGGTGAACGATTTGATGGAAATTATATATGATTCTTTGCAGATCACCAACAGTTCTGCAAAGATAAAGTGGATACTGTCGAGCCGCCCAGAGATCAGCCTCCCGAACACGCTCATAGACGAAAAGCCGGAGACACTGAAGCAGGTCGACGTCCAGTCCAATCCAGAACCTGTGGACGCGTATATCACCTACAAGGTTTCCGATTTGAAGCGCAAGCTCAATTATAGCGACGAAACTTTGGAGGCTATTGCAAACGAGATTCGCAAGCGTGCACAGAACACCTTCCTATGGGCGGCTTTGGTCTTTAAAGATCTGATCCATAGAGACGTAATGGAGGCTGACGCTCTGGAAGAGATCGAGAAGAACCCTGCTGAATTGTCTGAGCTATATGAAAATATGATGGTTAGAATCGAGAACGGCCACCACCCAGAATTTTTCAAATCGGTTCTGGAAGCTGCTTGTTTCGCATCTCGTCCATTGTCTTACGCCGAGATTCAGGTTCTTTCGGGCTTGCCATCAAAATATAAACCGGAAGGCTTCGTCTCAAAGTGCGGTTCATTCTTGACTGTTGAAGATGAGACGGTACATGTTCTCCACAATTCAGCAAGAGAACACTTGCTGGATTATTTCAATTCCAGGGTTAGCGAGATCCATGATCTCATGTGCGAACGATCTATCAAGGCTCTTTCGGAAGGCTTGAGGTTCAATATGTATGATCTGTTACCAGACACCGAGATTTCTCATGCTTCGGTGCCCCAGAACAAGCCCCTAGATCGTCTTGCGTATTCATGCGAGTACTGGACAGAAATTCTGCGCAAAGGGACCAGCAAGCTCACTGAAGATGGGCCCGCATCTGCTTTCTTGAAAGTTCATTTTCTTCACTGGCTTGAGAGTCTCAGTCTACTCGGCAAGCTCCCCAAAGCCATTGTATTGATCAGAGATCTCCAAGCAATGATCAAGGTATGCAACTTGCCATACCATTACTTCTCATTACTAATATCAACTAGTCGGCATCTACCCGCAGTGATACTACGGAGATCTCAGTCTTCTTGGCTGATGCTGAGAAATTCACTATGAAAAACCTGGCAATCATGACACAATTCCCCTTGCAGATATATGGAAGCGCACTTCTTTTCAGCCCCAGGAAGAGTGTAATTAAGAACGCCTTTTTTGACGAAAGACCATCTTTCATCAGCAAATTTTTGGGTGGCATGGATCATTGGGATCCTTGCCGGCAGATACTTGATCGTGACGAAAGGACAAAAGCCTTGGCCTTTAGTCCCAAAAATACGTGTTTTGCATCAGCTATGGCCCCCGATCGTCAGAACCCAGTCATAAAAATATGGGACACAGTTGTTGGTGATTGCATTCGAACTTTTCATTTGAAGGCTGCTGGGGACGTTATGGATGAAATACACCTTTCCTTCTTGTCTGAGTCGAACCTTGCCGTTTGTTATCGAGGGATTGCCTGCTTGATCGATGTCAAGAGCGGGACATTCAGTCCTACGGTCAGACCATCTGCGACTAAACCATTTGGGCGTATTGATTCCCCTATAACCTGCTCCCCCGATGGAAAAAGCTTCGCCATCGCTGCAAACTGTAGCGTGGATCTTTGGGACGTGTCTACTTGGACCCGCAGACGAACTCTTCAAGGTCACAGTGGATCAGTGACAACCATCACCTTCGCGCATGATTCCAAGACTCTCGCGACTGGATCGGAAGATGGGACGATAAGGGTTTGGAATCCCATTGATGGAACGTGCACAAACGTTATGGTAATTGAAGGAGACTTTCACTATATTCACTGCCTCTTCTTCTCGGTGGATAACAGCACTATTATCTCTCTGTCAGGTCGTGTCACAATAAGTCTCTGGGATGTTTCAAACGGGGCCTTGAAAGCTGAACGAAAGAAAGAGGACGATCAGTTCGCCGGCTACGCTGACTGCTCTTTGTCTTCTATTGGTGAGACTCTTGCTATAGCATGCTCAGATGGGAAGATTCGTTTCGAGGATGTGACAACCGGGGCCCAAATTCTGGTATTGAACCAGGAGGGACATCTTTTCCCACGCGTGAAATTCTCCAGAGACGAGCATATTTTAATCTCATCAACCTGGGACGGATCGGTACGACTATGGGATATATCTGGTCCACCTGCGAAATCTTCAAGCAGTCACGAGAGCAAGGTGACTGCTCTACGCTTCTCACAAGAAGGTCAATATCTTGCTACTGGCTCCGAGGATGGAGATGTGAAGCTTTGGAATTCAGCGGACGGCCTCTTGGAACACACTTTTGATGGTCATAGTCATACAGTGAACTTTGTTGTCTTCGCACCTGACGGGAGAACATTTGCAACTATAGCGAGTGATCAGAAGGTGCGAATTTGGGACAGCATGTCTGGAATCTGTAGACACATTTTGACGTGTCTTTCCGGAAGGAACGAACGCAAAAGGCAGAATATATTTTGGTCACAGATATACCACGAAGAAATCGATGAGGAAGAGGAGGACCAGGAGCCGGAAGCAGTCAGGTCAAGTGTTGCCACGTTTTCGCCAGATGGAAAACTTCTTGCTGTCGATGCTGGCCTGGGAAGAGTACTGGTTTGGGATGTCATGACTGGAGAATGCCAACGTACCATAGAATGTGACCCATGTTTGATTTTACGGCTATTGTTTATCCGAGAGGGTAAAGAACTGATTATGCAAGAGAGCCATGGGGTACAGCTCTGGGATCTCGCTACAGGAACATGCAAGCAGAGGTTTGCAAACGAAATGACCGATATATTTGTGTCCGCAGATGAAGCCACTCTGATCTCAGCATCTGCAGATTTTCCGCTCGAAGATTTCAACATCCATTTTACGCCAGATTCCCTTCGGGTGTGGGACTTGGCCACTGGAGTGTGCCGACAAATCATTCGTTTTGGCTATCGGGCTATGAGATTATCGTTTATCGACAAGTATTTTGAAACGGATCGAGAGGTCTTCTCATTCAATTCGAGCATTCTTACCAGGTCTCCTGATTCAGTACTGTCCCGATCTGGTGTAGAGGTTAAAGACACATGGGTCATCAGAGATGGAAAGAAGCTGTTCGCTTTACCTCCGGATTACCCTCAGAATTGTACGACTGTTCATGGGAACACTGTTGCCTTGGGAGGGTTTAGCGGCGAAGTGGCTATTGTCGAACTTGCTGACATCTAAGAATGGAGCTTATAGAAAACTCCGCTGAAACCTTTGATGCCTGACTAGGGATAGGCTATGAACTTGTATATTTGAAAAATACCTGACGAGATGGATTTCTACGCGTACATGGTAGACTACCTAAGAGGTACTAGTGTATCCCAATCCGAGACCATATTGATACAGGCAGACAGTCCTCTAAATGATACTCAGCAACTCCGGACCATTTGATAAGCAGCAAGCAGCACCAACTTGAACCTAAACTGCAGTTGCAGTCATACGTCTGGGTTGCTCTTGCCATCCCTCGCCGATTCTCAACCATCACCCCGGTTTCCAGTCCATCCATAATAACTTCTTGCAAGCATACACTACATGCAGAAATACGAGGAATCCAAGCGAGCACGAGCAAAGATGCAGGACTCCGAGCGAAGAACTCCAGGTGTAACACCTCCCATCGAACCACTTGCAGCATTGCCCTGACTCTAACTATGGCATAGCATACACCGACACCCCAGGTCCCTTCCAACCCTTGTTCGAGTCGCGAATCGGTCATTTCTTTGGCCCGGAGGAGGGCTTCCCATTCGCCGAGCCCGAGTCGATATCTGTTGCAGAGCTCGATACCCCTGGCCAAGCGGAATGGTTGCGCCCGCCTGCAGTCGTGCAGGGACATGCGCTTAGGCCTGGACGAGACATGGTCTATCCAGGAGGGATCCCTGGTTCTGTGCATCAACCCAACCTATACCATATCCGACCACGTGCAGCCGAGGTGGGATGAGCTTGAACTCGTGGCCGGAGAAATCCTGGTTGTCTGCCGCCTGTATGCCGATTTGTGGGCCCTTTGTGCCAGTGCTTCATTTCCTTCCACCGCAAAAACCAACGAGGCCGCCAATACCCAGCCAATGAGCCTTGCATTCGTGCCTCTCTGCGCAGTCACCCTTGCGGCGAACTTTAGTGCTTTCAATCGAAGATGCATCGAGCATGATCTCCGCGACACCAGTGCCCCAAGGTTTTCAGGAAATGGACTCCCTGTGATGCCGCCGCCTCGTTCGTGCAGTCTCATTGATGGTATGCAGCTGGCTCAGTCTGACAGACTCCACAACCGCCTTCCAGAGGTAGTATCCGATACGCTCAACAAGGTATTGCCGGAGTGCGTCGAAGCTGATTATGTGCCCCTTAACCTTCACATCGGAGCTCTCCTGTCCAATCTGAAAGTTAGACGCAATCGTCAGTCACAGTGTCTAGGTTTACCCGCAGCGGTTGATCCGCCACCGCAACCCACTGAGCCAGACCCCAAACCCGCCTCCTCTTCAAGCCACAGGTTCAGAAAACTGTTTGGACTTGCGTAATGCAGGACCGTTCACACCGGTGGTACTCTGTGTGATTGGGGAAGACAATCTCCATCAGGAGAAGTCCCCAGAGGGCTGGACATGAAAGTTTATCAGAACAGCTTTATCCATGCTTGATGTCGTGTTTGCTCCAACTTCATCCACGCCTTAAAGGTGGTTTCTCTCGCCCTGGAGTGAAGCACAGTAGTTGACTGGGAGCGCCTCAGCAACGAAGACAGGTTGAGCCAGTACTTGGAAGGGTCAGATCTCATATTGTAGCTACGTTCACATGGCAGGCAAGAATGAATTGATTAGAGGTTGGCCAGGTATTTTCCCCAGTCATTGATTCAAAGGCCGAATAAGCTGAACGCAGACTGAGACTGATAAATAGTCTTTGGCATGATTTTCACTGAATCCAGGCCATTGCTTAGGATAAAATGATTTTTGTTTCCCGTAGTATGGAACATCTAGCCCACCTATCATCGATTGTCCAGGTGTGCTTTTGGTCGTTCAATGGGCGAATGAGCGGTCTTGAGAACCGTAAGGTCCCGAAGCACATTAGCATCAATGATGAATTGAATCACATCACCAATGAAGACAAAATGCCTTGCGCTTGGATGGCTCGAACAAGAGCCTCGAGAAGTGGCTCCTTATTCTTCAAGCTTCCTGCCTGGAGGTGGCTAAGCCCCGTGTATGAGTGCCACGAGGCCAGAGAAAGCAATAGCGACAACGCCTATCGCCGTCAGCCCTGATGCCTTCCCTCTCGCCCAAAGCAATGCAGCTCAATCTGGTCCTGTTGATCATGCTCGGATGGAAGCTGCATGTGAGCCAGATGCAGACTGCAGATCGTCGCCGACCGCATGAGATCAAAGAAGATGGTTTCACTCTCGTGTCGTCTCTTCAACGCCACCAAGATGACTGCATCGGGTGACATCTGCAGCAAGCGGTCTAGTACCGAGACCAGCGCAGGCAAGCTATCCGCATTGTAGGTACAGTCTGAGACAAGGATCAAGTCAATGGAGCCACCGCATAAATCTTCTGGAAGCGGCTCATCCCAGTCCAGAGTTTGGAACTGGAGTGCCGAGGATTTCGCAGGTCGCGCAGCCGCAATATTCTTCGTCACAATCTCTTCGACCTCAGGAAGATCGGTGAGCGTGACAGAGCACCCGGGAAGAATCTCTGCCAGCGCAATTCCTACAATGCCACATCCAGAACCCAGTTCAATGGCGTGAAGGGGGCCGTTGCGCGATCCTCGGAGAAGCGCATGCAAAAGTGGCGCAGAGATCTCTCGGTCTCCCGCAACTATCTTCTGAAGATAGACAACTGACGCTACTGCTGCATCCCTAGGACATGTGAGCGTTAGTTAAGAGTAGTAGCCCCCTTGGATAACGAGGTGTCTCACCAGATATGCCGCGCAATACTGTTCCCGGTTTCTTCCCAGATTCGGAGGCTGAGCTTGTCATCTGGCCCGAAGCGTCGTTCAACGAGCTTCTCCGCTACTGAAGTCTGTGATCCGCCAAACGGAGCACTCCAGCCTGATACCACTAGCGGAAGTTCGGACTTTCCAAGGAGTGAGTCTGGTAACGGTGCTTGTAGCTTTGCAGAGTTGGCAGGGGACACTGCCAGCACGACTGTGTGTTGAGACAGGTTGGCGGGAAATGGCCCCAGCGATATTGGTACTTCACGTTTGCCTGCGTTCCATGTCATGGGTTCCTGATACAGGGCCTTTCCTGTGCCATGAGCCACTAGGGTCACATGCAAATTCACGTCTTGAGTGAGGAAGGCATCTCCGAGATCCGTGGTGATGCAGACCAGCGCGGAGACTGTTACAGCACTTTTCTGCTTGGCGAACCTGGGAGTTTTGAGGAATCGGATATAATAAACCATGATCACGAAGAATAATTCCTGAACTGCATCCGAACATGTTAGAGATGTCCGTCCCGAAAAGGAAGGCGACCCGGGACTCGGGACACGTGACCATGCGGCACGTGCTTAGACCGTTGGTGCTGACTAAGGAGCGGGTACGATGACATCGGCGTCTTTCTTCCTCAGGCTGCCATTCCTCTTCATTCCCATGGATTGGCTGGTTGGTTGCTTTGGTTATTCGTTGTGTCTTCTCTGAGAACCGATCTCACCTACTCTTTCCCCCAATGCGGTCTCTACCTGTCAACCGACTGCCGACTTCACTGTTTCAGTCTCTTCCCCATCATCGTCGCGCGGACTTGATGGGGCCAGTTGGTTGAGGTTCCCTTATCAATCATTATTTACCCCTCGGCCGTGGCATGACAACAATCACTTAAGAGTTGTCCCTTACCGCCCACGCCCTACTCAAAACCCGCCGCCATTTTAGCATCATGATGCGATCAAAGGACCCTCGAGTCCGCCAGAGGATAAATCAAATCTCCCATAACCTTGAATCCGCCAACGAGACAGCCCAGGAGGGCCTCTACACCTTCTCCCACAACTATATCCTGCCGTGTTTCACGGCCATCGGCAACTGCGTCTACAGCTGCACCGCACCCTGTCTTCCGACCCGGGAGGACCAGCTGCGTCGGCGCCGCCGCGGCCGCGCGGAAGCGAACTTTGACTTCTACGACGACTGGGACAACGAGGATTCGAATGCCGGACTGCTGGGATGGGGCACCGACGAACTCGACCGCCTGCTGGCGGGCAGTGGGTTGGCCCGTGGCGGTGCCGAACAGCCTCGCCGGCAGAGACGGATGAGCTACGGGGCGCGGCGTGTGCGCCGGAAGAGCACGGCTCTGGCCCAAGATGAACGCAATGACCCGACCGTCATCCCCAGCTCCTCGTTCCTGGGATTCCTTGAGCGGTTCCCCTGGCGCTTCGGGGCGCGCGGACTGAAATACCGTCCCTCGGCGGCGGATCTGCAGGAACATCCGGCGGGGGAACTGCGGAGGCACGTCTACGAGGATGAGCCACTCATGGAGGCAGCCGAGAATTACGACGCTCAGCCGTCGGGGAGCAAAGGTCGGTATCGGAGTTCGACCCAGTCCTCGCGGGAGACCACGAACTCGCTGAGTTCGCGTGGGGATTTGATTCCCAGCGACGATGAAGAGGATGCTGTGCCGTTGGATGATGAATTTGCCATGGCGCTGGGCAGCCGTCGAGGGACGGGATTGGACTCGATCGACATGATCGGGGATAAACCGGCGAGTATGCGGTCCGCGTCCGGAACGTTTAGTCTGGGGACCACCGGTTCGTCAAAGGCCTCCAAGAAGAAGCAGAAAAAACAGCGGAGCAGCCGGCTTCGTTCCCCGCAGGAGTCATACGTAGATATTCCCCGTGACGATAGCACGCCTTCATTGGCCGATCTCAAGAAGGAGGAGGAGCAAGCAGCGTACGAAGAAGAATCGGAGATTGCACGGAAACGGCTGGCCGCACAGCAGTTGGCATCAAACCGCGGTCTTGATCATCAGGTTAGTAGTTGGCAGTTGCTGCCTTCCCGGCCTTCAGAACGATGCTCTAACTCCATCTCACCAGCTTTCTCCATCGGCGAATCATGGCACGTCATCAGACGTTACCCACCAAGACACTCACCAGTCACCACCTGGGTCAGCAGCAGAAGACCCTCCTATACGAAGTCTCAATGGTCGTTCGGAATCATGGCCATTATCAATAACATCTGAAGACAATTCACAAACAGAACCATTCCCGCCTTTCCCTACAACACCCGACACCCACGACTTGATGCTTGCATCACCAAATAGCGGCTCCCATGGCCAGAACAATGACCATGATTCAGCCTGAGCCAATAACACTAAACACCATTGAACATAAATGCTTCAAGGTTGTGCGACTCCCAATGCAAGTTAAAGGGCACTCTGTCGCCCATCATGGTTTGCGGGTCAAACCTTGAGCGCTGGGTTAATAATGCTTTGCCACATACGCAGTTACTGCAAGATTATATCTACCTATCTAGTATTAGTGGAATATGTAATATGAAATGACTTACGAGAGCAGTCGCGCCTTTCCTTTGAGGACTAGCTGCAAGTGCAGTGCGGCATATCAATCATGTTGTTCTGGTAAAACAATACTGCTCGAAACCCCCAACTCGATGTTATTTACCATCTTTCACGTGAATGCACAACCAACACGTAACATCACAGATAATATCTACCTTCCATGGCCCCCGCACCGCTTCCCATAGCCAACCCCTCCGATGACACGAATGAATCCGCGCGTTTCTGCATCTGCTCCGCGCCGGCGCCGGGGGTATCCTCGAACAACCACGGCGGATTCGCCAGCGACAAGATTTCCTGGTCAAAAATGGCCCACGAGTAGTCCCCGGCCTCGGACTCCGGCGGGACGCCGTCATGCAAAGTGACCTCCGGCGGTGTGTGCATCGCCTGCAGATTGGATTCGAGGCGCTCCGCCAGGACGTTGTGGATGCTGGGAATAGGCGGATGGCCGGGTTTCAGCTTGGCGATGTGTTTCTCGATAAGGTAGCGGTCTGGTCCATTATCCACGGATTGTGGAGATGAGTTACTTATTGAAACGGGTTCTCGAGTTTGGTTTTCAGGGTGAATCCATGATCAATAAGATTGGATTGGAGAGTCTGTTACTGATGAAAACGTACCGTCTGGGTGGGACATACCGTCCTCGATTCCGCGGAGAAGTAGCATGGCCGCGAAGGTGATCATCTATGTGTGATGCTTCTTGTTCAGAGACTGTCTTGCGGTGTTTGAGGTTTCTGGAGGTAACGTACGATCAAGTCCCAATTCGACCAGATGCTCGAGTCATCCAACCGCAGCCGCACTACCGCGCGAGCGGACACCAGCAACTCGTGTCTCTCGGCCGGGGCGATGTCCGCTGCAGAGCCGAGATCGAAGCCCCGCGCCGGGTGGTAGATCGATAGCACGTACAGCTTGTGCAGGTGGTATTGGAGGAGGATGAGGATGCCTTGGCGGTTGGAGGGGGTTCGCTCTGCGGATTTGATAAGCGATCTGTAAGTTGATTGCATCGTTTTGGGTTTTGTCTGGGAATGTTTCTTGGATGATAAGGAATAAGAGGTGGGGTTGGGATGGTAATATTGGGGATGTTCACTCACGCGATGCCCCGTTATATCTGATCAGCCAATCGTCCAACTTCCTCGCCCAGAGGCGGATGACCCGAGCGTCTTCGTCTGTGAAGGGTGTTCGGATTGATGGTGAACTCTCGGGTTCCCTTACGCTGCTCATGAAGGACCAGATCGTGGGAAGGCCCCGGCCGACGAAGTGGCTGAGGCCTTGGTGCATCATCTGCGTGAGACCGCGGAAGGCATGCTCTTCATCCTCGTTGTCGCTGCTGGGGAAGGGGTTGAGTGCTGGGGTGGGAGGGTGTTCCGGGAGTAACGGGCAGCACATGTGCATGGACGCGTGCTCGATGTCGATAACCTGGAGGCCGGAGAAGAGGCCGCTCCAGTCCTGACTTGTGCCGGTTTCTGCGGCGGTGGGAAGGGTGTGGTCGAGGAAGAGACGGTAGGCCAGGGCGATCCAGTGTCCGGTGACGGGGACGTAGGCTTCGGAGCCGAGGCTGGCCATGATGAGTCCGAGGATGTTCTTGTAAGCGATGGGCTCTGTTGGGGCGCTGTTGTCGGGAAATATCGTGGGTGGGAGGACGAGCTCGGCGATGGCGCAGCATTGAGCCACAAAGTATCCCTTGGCAAACTCGCTGAGGTCTCTCGACGGCCCATGCAAGGCAGATATGTAGAGGATGGATGCTAGGAGAAGGGGAGATGGCGATGCGAATGCGCTTTGGTCTTTGAGGAAGTGGAGGAGCGGCAGGTTCTCGACGAAGCTGAGTGGGTGTCAATCGGCTCAACCCTGAACACAGAGAGGCACTGATGGCGGCGAACTGCTCACGTACGAGTTCCAGAGGTGTCTGACGATAGGACGGGTCCAGATCGCGTCCTCCTGAGGTGGCTGCGTGATGCTCTTCAGATGTTTAACAGCGTTCCATAGGCGAGGACACCCAGTTCCCTCGTCACCACCTAAGCCCTCACCGATCAGCGGCATCGGGCCTTCGCTTTTGTTTATACCTATTGATCTTTCGATACGATCTAACCGGCTGAGGACCGACGGCATCTCGTGGTTGGGATCCATCGGTGTCTGTGGTAAAGCCCCCAAGTCTCGAGCTGCAGCTGCAGCCTAAGCATTGTAAGCAGGAATCAATATCTACCGGCAGATCCAAAGTCAAACAGCCTCACATTTGATCTAGGTTTGAAGATGCAGGTGGTATTGGTGTGACGACATCGACGACATGGCGGCTTGCCATCAGCCACGCATTTCATCTCGTAGGCAGTCAGCAATGTTGATGTATGTCTCATTTATGGATATTTATGGATGCGTAAACCAGTAACCGACCTTCAGTCTGCGGCAGTTGACTGTTAGAGTGCATTAGTTCACCACTTTGGCTCGAACTTGAAAGGCTTAGGCGTATGCAACTTGCCGCATGCTTTAGTCGGTTTAGGCCCGTGGGCAATGGCGCCGGTCTTTTTCATCCTGATCTGTCTCGTGTTACTTGCTGCTTCGCATGCCCTTTTCAGCCCTTGAGAATGAAAGTGAGGAACTGTAGTCTTATATTGTAGATAATGCTTCGACAGGATGAATGAGAACAAGCAAGTGTCGCGCGACACTAAGAAACTAAGAACAAGTAGTCCGCCACCACGTGAGCCGGGCCTAATCGATATGACTCGACATTATCATTCATCCTGATAAGTAGATACCACCTGTCTATATACGAGGATTCATGTACTACGCCCGTGACCTTCGCCAGTGACCAATTTGTGGACAATCCACACATAAAAAGTGGACCTGGCTAAGCTACGCCTGTTCTCACGTTTTTAGTCCGCCTTGCGTAGGCTTCAAGGAAGTCAAGGAGGGTCTGAAAAACGGAAATAAGAAGTGTACCATGAGGCCTAGAGAGACTCGTCAGCCTCAGATTCACATTCTTGTTGATCTTGCGCGTGCTCCTATAGGAGGACCAACCATCTGCCAACATAGTGTTTCGAGTGGAGATGGGGTAGGTTGTTCTTGAAATGCGCGTTTGCAAAGCAGTCGGGGAAAGTGACAACAGAACCAAGACAGCCCAGCGAAGAGTGAGAAGGGTATTATGCCGACAGAATCCTATATACATGATCTTTTGAAGAGGGCAAACGTCATAAAAATACATTGAAAATATGGTACACATGGCGAACAATGAAACGCCATGATGAAAGTCATCAGGTCAGAGGTGTAGGGAAGTCATGTTTGGCGCAGTCTCAAGGACTTGGTATCTGCAGGTTTAAGCAGATGCAGCGGCATCTTGGGCATCTTCGAGCCCTCCCTCCGCTACAGTCATGGAAAGTTTTCGCATGTCCCAGCCATCGGACTCTATCCAATCTTTCTTCTCGCCTAGCAGGCAGACAGATCGCTGGGAGCCATCGATCAGGAAGGACTGTGCTGCCTCGTTGACATCCTTTGCGGTGACATCAAGGACCTGTTCTCTCCAGCGCTGGTCCATTTCGTGGGTCACGCCGCTCATGAAGTACCTTGCACCTTCCTCGTCGACGCTCATTGGGGCGTCGAGGCCTTGGAAGATACCTAGCTTAGCTTCGTTGAGCTCTCGCTCCGACCAAGCGCGGTCTCTGGCGAAAATTCCGCTGTTTTGGAACACCTTCAGGGTGTTGGTAGGGTTGGGATCCCGGTAACTGGTAAAGGCAAACATTCCCTTGACTGGGCCATTGCTGGCTCCTGCACCGTAGGCACCCCCCTTTTCACGAATCTCCGGATGGAGGTAGTTATGTGTAAGGAGTTGAGAAAGAACGCTAAGCTTGGCGCTAGAGGAGTGCACGAATGGGACGGTGTGCATGGCTAATCCAGAATAGTACACCTTGTATGGCATGTCGAAGAACGTTTTGATCAACTTGGAATCCCGCACTGGGGATTCAAAAGCCGCTGTGGGCGAGCGAACCTGTGGCAAACCCGCGAACCACTTCTGCAACACAGATTCATTCTGGCCTGCGCTCTCTGGCTCGCAAACAATGCGGACACGAAGACCGGAAGACCTAGAGATGGCGAAAGCTTGGATTGTGCGGAGCTTCTCGATCAACTCTGCCAAACGCTCGGGCGATGTTTCCGCGTCCCGCAAGAGGTTGGCTGTTGCCTGCAGTTGTGCGAGACCGGACTGCTGCTCTTGTACCCAGAAACTGCGCGAGAGGTTTGCCGCAGCCGCATTCAGAGCGAAACGGTGACCGGTGCCTGCAACGGCATCGAGGGCACCATTAGTTGTCATCCGAAGCAACTCTTGAATCATCGCGGGTGCACTGGGACTTGTGAAGTCGGTTTCGGTCACAAGGGTGGTCAGTATCTTCAACATGTCGGGGATGTTCTTGTCCAGAGCAGATCCGGAGAATTGAAGACCTTCATTGAATTTCCCAAGCTCCGTTGGGGAAGCTGTGTGAAACGTGGAGGTGGAGATACCTCCAGTCTTCAATTTGATCAAATCTTCCCATTGCTCCATCGACCGATTCGCGGTACCAAGACGCATGATACAGTCGTTGAAAAGTGGCATCAGCAACCGAAGGTCATCAGGAAGGCCATCGAATGTGTTCAAAGCCTGGAAATAGGTCAACCCATTGGTAGGGGCTTCCCGCCAAAGAAGATCCACGCCGTCAAGCTTGGACTCCCGAACGGGCTTGCGCTCCTTCTCGCGCGAGATGTCAGACACACGAAGGGAGGGTAAACAGCTCAGATCAGCGTTCTGTGCCTTTTCTTGAACCTCTAGCAGCTGAAGCTCCTCCGCCTTCAACTGAGCAATAGCCTTCTCCATAGACCCATGCTGTTCAGCGAGTTGACTGAGCTTTGTCTCCTTCCGCACTAATTCTTGGTCGTCAAGCTCCTTGTTGAACGTAGGTGTGCCAACCATCGTGAATGTCAGACAGTTATTATTCATAAGGTACTTCTGCATCAACGACTCCAGGTAGCCGCCCTGCGCATATCTGCTCTTGAACTCATCAATCACTTCATTCCAAGCTAGCTCTTTCATGGGATTGGATCCATTGAACCAAGAGGAAATCGTCTTCTCCATGACACCAATGCCGAAGTTTGACGTTTTGTGCCTGAGAGCAAGTTCAAGCTGATGAAGGATACCTTGGACCTTCTCATCACTGAATCCGGCAGCGAACGATTCCTCAAAGACAGTCTGGATAGCAGTCTTGATCTGAGAAGCCGATTCTCCACTAACACCAGTTACACCGACGGAAAACACCGGCACACGGCCGGACGTATCGAGTCCTGTGTTGGGACTAAAGGAAGAGCCAAGGCCACTTTCAATCAAAGCCCGATACATAGGTGAGCCATAACCATCCAGGAGCAGAGAGGACACAATCCCAGCCGAGAAAGCCTCCACAACATCAGTCGAATCTCCCATGTACCACGATGTTGACGTCTTGTGCTGCTTGTCTTCACCAGCGAATGTGTCAATGGGGCCTGGGACAGTCACACTCTTAGGACCCTGGCTAAGGTCAATAGGTTGTTTGATAGACGTATCCGCTTCGCCCTTTTGAAATCCATCCAAGACCTTGCCGATTTGCTCGAGATGGTCAGTCAAAGGCATATCACCATATGTGAAGATTTTAGCATTGCTGGGGTGATAGTTGCGCTTGGAGAAGTCGACTAGTTGCTTGTGCGTCAGATCGGTGATGTACTGAGGATCACCACCCGAGTTGTTCAGTGCCGGGATAATGCTCTCTTTATATTTAATATAATAGAGGTAGTTTGCGTCCGAAATCTGTCCCTTCATCTCGTTGTACACAACGCCCTTGAAGAGGATGTCCTCGGGGTTGTGAGTTGTCTGACCCTCGATAGCACGGGGGTCCTCTGGCCCCAACCGCCAACCCTCCTGCCTGAAATCCTCCTCCTTAAGCAGAGGGTGGAAGGTGGCGTCCAGGTACACTGAGAGCAGGTTCCGGAAGTCCTGCTGGTTCGTGGTAGCGAAAGGATATGTGGTGTGATCGGCGGAGGTAAAGGCATTCATGAAGTTCGACAGTGAGCGGGGAAGCATCTTGAAGAAAGGGTCGCGGATAGGATATCTGAAATATGAAATATGTAAGCCATCGTTCTAATGCTCACACGGGTCTAAGGCACTTACTTCTCGCTACCACAGAGCGTGGTATGCTCCAGGATATGGGGAACACCAGTAGCATCCGGTGGATTGGTCTTGAAGCCAATTCCAAACACATTGTTCTTGTCTTCCCTGGCCACATGGAGGTAGTCCGCGTCGGTCTTATCGTGCGTTAACCGGACGGCCGTCAGGTGTAACTCCGGTACATGCTTCTTTTCTTGAACGGTGAAGCCGTGGACCTTGTCCCCGATTCCGGGAAAGTTGTCTAGATTTGTCACAGCTGAAGCAGACCTTCTGATCTGACCCCAGCGAAGCAAAGTGTTTCCAGAACCCAGCAGACGTCCGTTGGCGGACTTCGGTAAAGCAGGCATGAGGCCTCTGCTCGCCCCAAGAGTTGAACGCAACATGATGGCTCGTTCTAGAAACTGCAATTCACGCTCAGCGTTTCTATCACTGATTACGGCACGACTGACGTACTCTAGCGAGTCCGCGGCAGCTTCTTTGCGTACCGAAGGTTGTCGGGGGCCGTGGACCGGACAGACCGGGCAGCTCGGAGATGAGTGCGAAGATCTGGGATGCGCAAGTATGAACGAATGTACTCTGCTAGACCGAGTTTTGCAGACCAAGGGATTGGAACAAATGAATGCCCCAGAGAAGTGGAAAAGGGGATAGAAATACAGAAAGAGAAAGATAGGAAAGAAATGGAAAAGTGGTTGGAGTGTTTGAAAGTAGCTCCGTCGGCGCGACTCAATTGCTTAGAAAGACAGGCGGGCAGAAAGCGACGGACGGTGCCAAGAGAAGTTTTCGAAAGAGGCTAGTGCAGTTCAAGTGCGCATCCCCCCCTCTTACGACTATTCCATCCAATCTTCCCCGGCAAGTTCCTCGAAGAGTGACCCCGTTCGTCTGTCGACTCTCCTCGCAGTCGACACTCTCGCTCAATACCTTTTCGTTTCGTTTCGTTCCGCCTCAAAGGCACAGGCACACGCACGCCTTCGCTGTCGGATCCCGACGCCTCCCGCAAGTGAGCTCCCGGTTGGCTTTGCAGGACTTGAATTCTAGTCTAGTCAACCTTCGTGGGTTCCCGTTACCTCCGACTTCTGCAATTATAGGAAGAGGCCACCGAGGTTCTCCACTAGACTCGCCGGGTGGATACGAGTTGCCTTCAATCACAACACCTCCTACCGATTATTGTTCGCTTTGCCGCCACGAAGAGTTTCCCTTATTGTCCTGTCCTCGCGGCTATCGAAGGAAGTGACGCATTCGTCCCTGCCATCTTCCGTCGAACCATTCCAACCTCGCAATTTTCACCGCTGAGGATTGGCCACGCGACCACCCTCAACAGCATCACAACCGCATAACTTGTCCAATATCCTTACGACAAACAGCGAACCATGTCGTCCGCGGCCATGTCCAAGAAAAAGCAGGGGAAGAAGGTTGCAGATCCGAATGAGACCTCGAAGCTGCTGGCCGCCAAAATCTCGCAGCTGGAGCAAGA